CTACAAGCGTATTACCCTGTCTCACCCCGCTTGGTACGCTGCAATAGCTAGGCGGGATATCCAAGCATGGGTTACGGGTAAAGAAGTTGCGAGGTCGCAGTAGTAGTGTCATTGGCTCAGCCGGCATGACGGGGAAGTCTTCTGGAGAGGGGAAATGCGTGATGCCAAACGTGTGCCATAGGACAACGTCGGTGTTATCGAGGTTCTCATTCGGGTTCGCTTCGATCCAGGCTGGAATTCCCTGCGAAGGCTCGCCGGAAGTTTGGGGAACATGGCGTCCTGCTGGGTGGATCTGGCTGTCATCATCTAGGTAGTGCATGTCAGTATCCGCCCCACGTTCTGAGGCATTTACCAAGAAACTTACACTTGGTTACATGCACGGCATGTCTTGCGAAGCCGGCTCTCTTCCAGACCAAACTACCAGGCTTCGGTAGTAGCTCTGGAATTTCTCTACTGACTAGCTTGTAGGAGACTGGCTTCTTGCTGTACGGGTTCAATTTGCTGGTGTTGGCCATCTCCCATGTCCGGCTCGTCGCGCCGTTGTAATCTGTTGCTGCTTGCTCAGGTGTACTGAGTTTCGTCTTCTTTGCGTAAAAGGCATTGCCGTATTTGTTCTCCGCGCTCCCAACTTCTCCATCACCTCGTGCTGCATCGACCATAAAGACGGTATTTTCTGGTCCGTCGATGTTCGGATCGATGCGCATGCAGAAAAGATGCTGGTGGTTATGCGCATTGACACCTGGATAGACTTCTGTGCCCCAGCCCTTGAGATCCTCGCCAGGAAGCATAGCATACGTATTCAGAATACCAGTGAGCTTGATCTCAAGTTGAATGGTTCCGTCCAGATGGAAGATCCAGTATACGCAGTATTCGTAATTTGCAGCAGTGAAGATGTGCGAGATGATTAGCTTGCGCGCTCGGGTTACTGTCACACTATCGTCGCGGAAATCAGTGTGTTTGAATAGAATACCCGCATCTTCCTCATGAATGCAGATGGCATTCTTGATGGTCGTCGACTGGCCAGCGCGGTTGACAAACGCAGCATCCATATAGTGGATCGCTCCCTTGCAGTCACAACCAAGACTCAGCGAGTTCGTCATATAACCACCTCCGTACTCGCCGAGGTCGAAGGCATGTTTGCGCTGATGCGGGTGTTCAGGATTTCCATATGGCACGACCATCTCGGCGAGTGAGAGGCGCCAGAATGTATCACGAACTGTACCCTTATCGTTAAATGTGATATTTGACAGAACTATGCCTTCGCGGTAGTTGAAGCCGATGTGCAACTTCCAGTTGGCCCAGCTAATGTATCGTCCATCCATCCTAAAAGAGACTCCTTCGGGTTGTGTGATGTTGATAGGCTTCAGGTCAGTTTTGAATCCACCCTCTGCCTCGATAGCGGAGGCATGGTAATTGTTTGGTGGCGCGCGGTTGAGCGGCCTCCTGACTGGCGGTACATCAATGTGAATAATCTCTTGGGTGTCGGCGTTGTAGATAGGGCAAAAGTCAAGGGGATAGGTGTATTGACTATCGTCTGGGTGGGGACGGTAGTACATGAGTGCTTGCTGAAGACGGACTTTTGTGCCAAAGCGCTCATCATAGCCAATGGTCCATGCTGATTTGAATTAGTAAGATTAGGGGATTGATTAGAGAAAAACTTACGGTCACAATATACTTTGTGCATGTCTTCTGGTGGAATGCCAATGATGCCGCATTGCTCAATGACCTTGGGATCTTTTCGGACGACTGTCTCCACAATCTGCAGGTCTTCCATAGTAATCTTGATACCGTGTTAATACACTTTGCATAGCAGAATCTATTTGAAAACTCACCAGTGGTTGCACGTCATCAGTCAATGCCCAGCTAACAATCTTGCCCTCCGTCAGATCCACCTGCCCGTCGAACACTTTGCTGCCGCGGCCAATGCAAACAACATCAGCAACTCGATGCGGCCGCGGCGTGTGGTCAGGGTCTTTGATCCATTTCATCATCTCGGCTTTGCGGGGCTCCCACAATGTGATGGCGTTGAAGAAGACATCGTTGTGCTCCTTGCGGATGATGGTGACCGCCTGTTCAATCTCGGATTCGCTGAGGGGGTCGAAAGGATGAGGAGGTGTCCCAATGCCAGTGATATGAGAGGCAGCCTGCTTCAATCTGTCGAGAGACATGATTTAGTGATTTGGTGATGCTGTGGGAGTTGTTGAACAGACGGTGTTGCTAGCAGCTCCTAGAGGCTTGAGGCTGTCTTATAGCATTTGGCTGAACGGACGGGTTGGGCGGGGCAATAAGCAATGCATAGCTCCAAGACGCGTCGATCGAAGCCACCAGCTGCTCGCCAATCGTATCATCTCGCAATCCAGCTCCAAGCATTTCGACAGTCAAAGCCAGTGTTCACCATCTCGTTATCGACGCGATAAGCCGACACGGCGGGACTGTCGCACCCGTCTTGGTTAGACTGCCCCACTTCTCCACGCTCGACGATGTCAAGGTACTCTGGCTCGCTGCACCGTGTGTATCCCAGCATCCGTTTTCGGCCACTTGCTCGGTCGTCTTTATCGGGTTGCCTGATGGACCTCGCAAGGTTATCCTCTATTGCAAGTACAGCTCCACATACGGGAGTTGTTTAATCGAGTGGCATCCTCAGGATAGGAAAGAATTCCGCATAGACTTGCGAGGACCACATGTCCTGACTATGAAGCCTCCGGAACCAATTCCGCGCACTTCCAAAGCGCGGCAAAGTTACTACACAGGGCTCTGTGATTTATGTCCACTTATCTGGGATGAAGGGATGAATTCCTGGGCCTAATATTCGGGAACACGTAGTCGAACTATGAGCTAAGCATACACAGAGTGAACAATGAAGTGGCCCAGACGCCAGATAGTATTATGTGACTCCAACAGACCTTGATTTCCATATGTTCGTCGATTGTTCAACTCTTTATCTATTTCCTCTACAGATCCTCGCTTGAAAGCAACTTCGAAATGGGGCTGGATCGACATGATGGCGTTTGCTGTCCTCGAAATCAACGCCCCTTGCATACCAAATAGCACAAAGGATATCAATTTAGTCCGAACAATGAGGGTACTCTTTACTCAAAGGGAGATTCAGATGACAAATTCCAAGAGTGGATACATGGTGAGTTGCACAGGTCCGTTTCGATGACAGCGAACAAGGGAACACAAAACACTGTAACTCAACGTTAACGATGGTAACAGTTTTCTCTAACAGAAAATCACGCGTTCGGGACATCTATAGTGCGTCCGATGAGAATTGTGCTAGTGAACATTGAGTAACATTGAAGCTCAGCCTCTAACATCTTGACAAGTAGGTTAGCCGATTGGGTACTAATGCCTTACCAGCGGCTTACTCTGACATCAAGCTCCGGTCTACGATGTGAAACGTAATCGCTACTACCTACTCAAAGAGTTTGCACGAGTGGAAGAAGACCAATATATTCCCCAATTATTGCCATTAGCTTTGTGCAACAGAGGAAACAATACAATGGCATAGGTATTGTCTCGAACCTGTGAACCCTATCCCTACTCTGATACTAAGCACTTGTATGAATGCATACTGAAGGGCTAAAATATTACTCTATGTTGAGCTAATACGCCACCCAAGGATTGATACTAACGAAGTTAGTTCGATTGCCAAGGCGAAGCTTAGCACCACGAGATCGTTGTGCGCACACGAGACCAAAATGAAGCCTTTTCAGACGACAAGAGTCACAGCACTAGGCAACGTCATCAAGGCCAACAATATAAATAACGGTTGTCATATGACCAAGAGAATGGGCAGGAAAGGTGCGGGGCTATGGATGATATCGCTTAAGAGTCGTTTAGGCGATGCTGGTGTCAGGCCTACGCGTGGCCTTGAAGATCGAGGACTGTACACTGGGCCCACAAGTCCATGTTATGGATTACTGCAGGAGCGTAGTGCCGGTAGCCCTGCTGATTGCAATAATGGCTGTTTCGAGTGTCGTTGGCGCATCGCAGGATCAAACAACAAAAGCAAGTCAAAACCAAAAAGCATCCCTTTCTGTCATGAAAACAACCCCTTTTGCGATATTCCAGATTCTTCTCTTGCATCACATTGGTTAAAGATACCCGAATGAGACGTCACTTACACAACCCTTACCGGTAGGGATCTACAGAGTAGGATTCAAGAAGTTCTGAAGTGTTCAGGTTATCCCCGCCCCAGCCGCTCGAATCTCATCGAGCAGCCCCACTAATTCTTTTTGTAGTCTACAAAGCATCAAAACGCTAGAATTATAGCGTAAGTTTTTCTTCTATCAAATCCCGGCTAAGGGTATTCAACTGTCTCAGCAGTCATGAGACACCTGAGCCTTCCCTGCGTCTCCTTCTGGTGGGTTTAGGAAGGTCGTCAATCACGAAAAAAAAGCTAAACATGCCTTCCCCAATCCGCTTACAGCACAAGAAAGGCTGTAAGTATGAAGAGATGTAGCCAAGCCATTTGAAATTCCGAGATCGCAGTCCCGTGTCTATAGGCAACCGACTTGATTGGCTGTGCAACCTTCAGCACTCTCGTAGGATTAGGGAGTGAATCGCCACATCGCAAAGAGAGGCAGTCATCAGGACATATGCCCCATAGGATACAGCAGCCGCTACTCCTATTTCAGCTCAAAAGTTTACAGTTCACTCTATGATTCTCGCGCTTGAACCACTACCTAATGTTAGTGGCAGTATCCTTCACTCACACGCTCAGTCCTTGAACCAACCAGATACGCCACAAACATGCCCATTCGACGCCCCAGGCGTCAGCCAAGGGAAAATGGTCGCAAGTTCCGTGGAGTGAATATGCAGATTCAGCGCCTTCACACCATCTTGCTTTCATCGAAAATGGTCCGAGCAGTAGATAAATATCCCCTCAAAGCCCCCCGCATAGCATCCAGTCAAGGAATCTCTTGCATTGTCTCAAGTCCAGAAAGTCGTCTCCCTCTGTCCCGCGTTTGGGGAACATTGTTTATCCCCACTCCACCATGGTAAGAGGATTTTCACTCCTCACTGCGCTGCTAGCGGCCAGTGCCCACGCTTGGATGCCCGAGCACCGAGAACTCGGCGCCTTCAACAGAACAAGCAATTATCTTTCGAAACGCGCACACAGCCTTCCTAACTGGAAAGTCCGGGGAGTCAACTTGGGTGGATGGCTGCTCTCAGAGCCATGGATGATGAACGAGGAGTGGAAGACCATGGGCTGTGGCAACACTTGCTCTGAATTTGACTGTGTTTCTGCCCTCGGTCAGTCAAAGGCAGATAAAGCATTCAATGATCACTACGCTCGCTGGATTACCCCGAGTATGATTCAGGATATGTATAACGCGGGACTGAACACTATCCGCATCCCAATTGGATATTGGAGCCTCAGGAGCATTGTCGATAGCAGCGAGAAGTTCCCCACGATGGATTTACAATACCTGGATGCCATTGTTCAAAAGGCTGCTGATCTAGGGATGTTCGTTGTTATGGACCTTCACGGCGCACCCGGAGCCCAGAAGACCTTGGATGCCTTCACTGGCCAGGTATGCTTGTTAAATCCACTTTCTCTGTCTTTTAAGCACTAACATCAACTCCAGTGCCTCCCAGTCTCCCACCTCCCTGGATTTTTTACCCAGTACAACTACGACCGCGCGACCAAATGGCTCGACTGGATGACCCGTCGCATCCACACCAAACCAGCCTACAAATCCGCCATCGGCATCATCGGCGTCGTCAACGAACCCCAGACGTCCCGCGACCAGGGCGGAATGCCAAAAGAAGAACTCGACACTCTAACCCAAGTCTACTACCCCCAAGCCCTCAAAGCCGTCCGCGCCGCGGAGCAAGACCTCAACATCCCCGAAACCGAGCGTCTCCACGTACAATTCATGGACTCCCTCTGGGGCGCCGGCAACCCGCAATCGCACCTCCCACCTAGCGACACGCGCGTCGTCTACGACGACCACAACTACATTGGCGGCGCCGTCGTGGCCAAAAACCCAAACGCCAAACAAGCAGACTACATGTACTACACGTGCTTCGAAGACGACCGGCTTTCCGACGGCGACACGCCCAAAATGGTGCAAGAATGGAGTTTGACAGTTAGAAACGAGTATTCGGCTGAGTTCGACTGGAAGTTGGCGCAAAACGAAGCGTTTTACAAGCAGTGGTTTGTAGCGCAGCAACGGCTGTATGAGAGGACGGGTGGCTGGATCTTCTGGTCGTGGAGGACGCAGCTGAATGATCCGCGGTGGGACTATAGTTATTTGGTCTGGAAGAAGTGGGTGCCTACGACGGCGGCAGGGCTGGATGCGAGTGTCAAGCAGGATGTGTGTACGAAGTACTTTGGGAACCAGGGTATGATTGCGAAGACGAAGGGGATGACGTTGCGGAGAGGTGGTTCTACGATTCCACTTTGAACTTTTGTCAGGTTGGGCTGGTGTGTCTTTTCTTTTTCCTTTTGTTTTAAATACCCTCTTGTTTACCCTCCTTTTTTCCTCTTGCAGTTGTTGAGGATTGAGATGAGATTGGTATGTACCTTTTCTCTTTACTAGTGTACTGCGCGACTCGACTTCGTTGGATGCACAATGTAATGCTTGGCTAGCGTCTTGCTGGTAGTAGCAGTAGCCGAGAAGCAAACAAGATCTTCTGGAAAGGCGTTGTGTAACTATTCTTACAACGTGCTTGTACGACTCCCCCGCAATCTATTCGACCTACTTGCCAAGTGCCTAAGCACCAATATCAAGATCATGAGACCTACAAGCGTATGGTAGAGCCAGCTGGTCATCAGCAGAGAAGAAAGTGATGACAGCGCATGCCAGCAGGACCCCCTTGCATTCTTGAGACTCGATATCGAGAGAGGTCAGCAGACTCTAGCAGCACGTTGCAAGACTCAAGGAGGGGTAGTGACTGCCGGTAGCCGGGTGCCGATATTGACCGTAAGTAGCAAGGTCAGGAGTCTGCGTACACTAGTTAGTGTAACCATGCAAGTAATTAGTGTAGATTCTCTTGCGGGGAAGACGATGGTGGGGTAAGAAGTGACTGGTATGCCCGAATCGTAGTATGACGGATTACCTACTGGTATTTTCAGCACACTAACGTTGGTGGTTGAGAGGTACACGAAGAGAATTACGGCCAATAAGGCGACAGGACAGAAATCTCAATTCAAATCTTTGCAAGGAACAACAAAGTGCTGTATCTGACACCCAATCCAAGCCATAAAGGCGGTATATCATCCCAAAAACGCCATGTTAGTGCAAACCGAACAAACGCCCGAGGGCAACAACACCAGCCCCGCAACCTCGTGAGCACCGACCGTGAGGCATCATCTCAACCCTAGTATAGTAATTACGAAAGAATAACAGGCCGTGAACAGGCACGATATATCGTGAGTCGTGACTTTCAGAGACTTCGTGAAAGCATAAGCGAAAAGGATCAAGAAGGCTGAAAGGAAGAATGACCAGACTAGCTGACGCTCTGCGAGAGAGCAGAAGAGAGATGGGACGCAAATTTGGCGTCAATGCCGTCCTCCTGACCACCTAGGCCAAGGCCTATGCCACTGTCGTCGTGGTTCGACTCTTGTTGTGACGGGTTCAAATTGTAATCGTAACTAAAGCTCATGTTATACTGTGATGATTGTTGAGTAAAGCGTCCAGTATTGACTGGTGATCTTACGTTAGTCAACTACCATGTAAGCCCATGTTGTGAATGAAGAGACTCACCTTCTTGGTTAGATCCGGTATCCTGGATAGTTACATGGCTAGTAGTCGACATGAACGACTGGTCGGGGCCAAAGTCGGCCTCAAGGCTACTATAACGGCTATCGTTGTTACTGCCGCTGCCACCGTTGGTCATACCCGCGTTGAGAGGGTCGCCCATCACTGGAGAGTAATTTGAAGACGTCCAGTCTGGTGGCGAGTGGCCCAGAAAACCTCCTATAGAAGCCAGCCATTGTGCCATTTCATCCACGAATACCTTGGTAAGCCACCATCCTTGGAAACTGATGCCGTTCTCTACTGTGATTTCTCGTAGCGCTGCGGAACCGAGTGCGCTGATGCAATGCATGATAGTCCGTGCGTGTGCGCCAGGGAAGCGTGAAGGTAGTCGAGTTAGGAATGCTGCGATGCGGTCAATGACCGACTCGGATGGATCAGCGGGTGGGTCGGGGTATGCTGCTCGATGTATCGTTCCAGAGGGTAACTGGATTTCCTGGGGCAGCGGGCCTAGCATGGACCGGATCTCGGTTGTAAGAATATTATACACTTCCTCGTGCGGGCATGAAGCGGGCAACTCGTTCGCAATGATACGCTTGATATTCACGTGCTGGAGCCAATCGGCGTACATATGAGTCCGATGACTCTCCGCTGTAAGCATGACGGCTGCTGCGTGCGCTGCTGAGTTGACGCGGAGCATCTGTCGTAGAAGGTGAGCGAACAATGTAGCGGGTTCCAGCTTTGCCTCAAGGACGTGGACCGGTAAGGACATGAATTTGGCAGCGATGTGTGCATGAAGAGTCTTTGCGACATTGTCAAGAAACTTCAAGACTGGTGGTGGCGCTACTTGGAGCGTCAGCTGAGAGACGTTCCTAATCATCTTCTGGTACATCATCCAGTCACACTCTCTGATCCACGGTGCTAGCTCTGGTGTTGCAAACAACTTCTGCACTGGTACAGTCAAAGTGCCGTGGAAAGTGCCAAACAAGCGAAAAAACTGTTTCTCCTTGCAGTAACGTACAGAGTCCACGAGTGAGACGACATGTGAGCGGTACATTGCGACCAGGTTATCAGCAGAGTCGGGGTCGGTACGGGCTGGCAGATACGGCTTGATATCCGGCAATTCGACGACAAACGCATCTGGGGCCTCAAGAATGTCTGGCGTGGGAAACTTGAGCTCATGTTCGTATGAGGATTTTGTGCGGGACTGCGATGGTTGGAAATGCGATGAATAGATGTCGGTGAATAGTACACCGCGTGATGAGGTTGGGGTATAAAAGGTATTGTGAGACTCTGCCCTTGGTTCTCGAGGAGGAAACTGTGAGTTGTCTGCAGGTAGACGTCGGATGGCGCTGTTTTTTGTTAATACATGTCCTTTGAAGGGATGCGAGTGGAGCGCATACTCGAGGTTGAGCCTGGGAGTGCCAGAAGTTTGACGCTTCATAGCATGATGCGCAGCAGCACCAGTGCTAGGGCGGCGCGCTTCGTCGCCATCACCTCCATCGTTGATAAGCTCCAGGTCGACATAGTGGTACTTGGACTCTCCACGAACACCGAGACGCCTAGTTTGGATACCGGGAAAGATGACGCGAACAAGCTTTCCGAAGGAGGCCGGGTTGAGAGGGATGACGCGATCAGTGCCGCAACGTTCTGCGTATTTGGAGTAGACGCGGTTGCGCGGGACCGACGTCTTTGCGACGCGACAAACTGACTGCAGCCTGTATACTGTTAGCGTACGAGAAAGCCTAAAGGCATCATGGCACTCACCACAACATGGCGAACAACTGCTTCGATTTTTCTGATTTGGACGTCCGATCATTCTGAATAACCTCGGCCGCAACGTCCTTCAAATTGCGACCCTCGTTCTGGTTCAGCAACTGGCGCAACTCCTTGTCGTTGGTCGCTGCTCCCGAGGTGGAAGCCCTCTTCTTCTTGTCTTCGTTGTCCACCGACGGAGCCATAAAACTGTGTTGCTGCGAATGTTGCGAGTGTTGCGAAAGCTGTGAAAGTTGCGATTGCTGTGGGAGGGGGTTATGGTAGCCATGGTGATCTGGTTGCGCAGGCTGCCCATTTGGTTGAGGCTGATTCGTGGTTGAGTCGGCCGGGTAACCGAGGTACTGCTGGACGCTTTCCAGGCTCATATTAATGAGGTGGTCCTGCGCGCTGACCTGTTGGGCAGCTTGGATTAGTGCAGGCTGCAAAGCTTCACTCGTCGTGAAGGGTGCGTGGTACTGCGGCTGCTGGGGAAATTGGGCGGCCCGAGATTGCTGCGGTTGTTGAAATTGCTCGAACGAATGGACGCTTGTCGTCGACGCGCGCGAGGGCGGGCGGTTACTCCGGGTAGACATTGATGTGTTTGAACGTGACCGGCGGATATCGGTCATGATATGGGTGCCAGTAGTGGCTGATGGTTTCTCTGTTTACACCAAAACAATGGGACAGCAACGGCGTTAAGGGGGCGACAACACGGTCGGGCGGGCACCTGAGGTAAGGGATAAGTCGACAGAGATATATAAAGGGCGCGTCGAAGCTATAGATGGATGTTGTGGACGTGTAGGCCGGGCTGTGGGTGTGTGTTTCGATGCTACTGGGCTTGTTTGTTGTCAGTCCTGTGACCTGGCCGACACGCGGATGGGTCAGCTAAGATGGCAAAGACGCGAAGGAGATGCTCCAGAAATAATGGCCAGCTCCAAAAAGCGTCGTCGGCGCTGTCGGTTCCCCTCGGACGAGTTTGTTGTGGGATGGGGTTTTTCGATGTTTACGCTCTTGACTGAACTTGGTCGCATCTGCGGCAACGGACTGGCCGGCGCGCATGGACCAGCGGCATCACATGACCATCGTCATAACACACTATGCAATCTTACTACCACTATTATCTCGTCGCCCAGAAATAGTAGGGAAATGCCATTTGGCCAGGGATGCATGTTGCAATGAAAACACCGCGTCTGGCCTCGATGCAACATTGTGCGCACGTACTGCACTCGATGCATTTGCTGCGGGTCAAACTGCTGCTATTCGGCTGGCTTGTGAAAGGCGGTGACGTATTTAGCGATGACGAGCCCACTTGCCTCCATCCCACAATCGTCCCGGCTCCGCGTTCCCACTCTTCCTTTCCAAAGAACACCTTTCCAACCCGCTTCCTACTGAGCAATCCCATCCTCTGCATTCCTAACCTCCTTCATCACAAACTTCGGTATACAAATTCCACTCGACATCTAACCACCCTTCACCATGTCTGTCCAAGATAGAGCCCAGGCCCAGCTGTCACGGCTTGACAAGGAGGTAAGCTCCCCCGCTCGCTTCAGTCGGATGACACATTGCCAAAATACACCCTCTTCTTCTCCCTGCCCGGCTTTGATGACAAGTTTTGCTGCTCAAAATCCCAAGCAACGCGTGCTGATGATATGGTGTTCTAGTTGTCCAAATACCCCGCCCTCAACAACTTTGAGAAGCAGACCTCCGTCCCCAAGGCCTACATGGTGCTCGGCCTTGCCGGACTCTACTTCTTCCTCATCTTTTTCAATATTGCCGGAGAGTTCCTTGTCAACGTTGCCGGATTCGTCATCCCAGGATACTACTCCCTAGATGCCCTCTTCACCGCAAGCAAGGTCGATGACACTCAGTGGCTGACAGTATGTACCCCGCCACGGTATTTGAAACCGGCTCCCCCGACAACACACGTGATAGCATCCAGACAACTAACTCGCCTATTCAGTACTGGGTAACCTTTGCTTTCCTGACCGTTTTTGAGAGTGCCGTCAGTGCCAGCTACTGGTTCCGTAAGTATCCCAAATTGCCTCATACGATGCGTCACTGACTTTGAGCAGCCTTCTACTACACCTTCAAGTTTGTCCTTGTTCTCTGGATGGCCCTGCCCCAGACTGCGTAAGTGACCTCGAGTAGACACTGGAACGCCATCTAACACATCGCAGTGGTGCCCAGCTGGTCTTCCGCTCTTTCATCCAGCCCGTCTTCTCCCGCTATTTCTCGCAGAGTGGCTCCACTGCCGCCGACCTCCGCGCCAAGGTCGACTCCGCCGGCAAGGCTCATGCCTCGTAAATTTGTCATAGCCACACCGCCTATGACAGTCGTATGGCCAGGCCAATGCAAGCACGATGATGTCCAGGTAACGTCCTCTGCTGTGCGGGGGCTCGACAGACCGGGATTCTCAAGGCTTGGGGCCGTCGCGGCTTGGAATCGCAGCATGAATGAGAACACGTGGGTACGGACCATGTTCACAGAGGGGTTAGCATAGGAAGGAAGAGACTGGAATCCTTTTATCCTATGATCACTCGTCCACGAAGCGACGGCTTGGGTAATAGATCGTCTTCCATAGCAAAGGAGTTTGACAAGGTTGCCTGTGAGCAACGATTTGATGTACTAGAAGGGGCCCTGCCCTAGGCAACCAACAATGAAATTTATCCCTGTATATCTTTAAAGCCGTCTGTGCCTAGGAAGACAGTGCCAGCTCTCGGAGTGACGGGTGACGATTGGAAACAAGGCTTTGGAAAATATCTCATTGCATAACTGGTAATTTCCCTATAATTTCAGGCAATATTTTTCTTGGATACATCTAGCTTATGAACCACTTCTTTTGCTCATAGGCAAAATCTATCTTAACAACCACCTCGCTGCACCTCTTCATCACCATACCCCCCTCTACCTTCTCTCGCTCCCTATATTATGTCTAGCTTCTGGAAAAGACCTGCAAAGGTACCGATTTCTATCTATCTAGTAGTGCTAAGTCTGATTAAGGACATTAATAACATCGCGTGAGCTCTCTTACCTCAAGAAGCGCTAGAAAGGTTATACTAACGAGTCATACGCAGGTACGCTAGGAGCACCTCTTATTAGGCCGGCTGACTAAACGTAGCTAGAAAATGGAGTAGGAAGATGGATAACTAAACAGGCCCTGAAAGACCAATACCGTAAAAGTGTGGGATGGCTAGGATGACGGTGATACGTGCACTCAAATACGGTGGTGGGTACGGTGAATACGGTGAACGCAATAGCACCGAAAAAAGCCCGTTGATCACCGCACGCATAACAACAAATTAGGTACTATATGCGCTACATATCAACTCTTAGTACTTAGGTATAGTGCTAACAAGGATATGAATACCTGAGCTTAGGTTCTCTTAAGCGGAAAAATGCCGTAGCCAAACGTCAGCTATACGAAACATCTTAGTTATTAGAAAAAAGAACATAGACTTTGAACCTCGTAAACCATATCTTTTGATTCGCATTTTAGAAGCTTAGTAACTTTGATTTGCACATTTATTATGCTTCTATGAGCGAGTTAAGCTTCACTAATGTATACAGGCTTGGCTCTTCCCCACTATAGCTAATATGTGCTACCACATTGACAGAAGGCTGCGGACCGACTCTACTACTCGAAAAGGTGCGAACAACCGGACTATGTCGTACGGCTACTATGATGTATTTCTAGAACGGATGAAAACTTAACCCGTGACGCAATATAAATACATGACTACCTGAGGTACATTTAATGTTGTAGTAGATCAAGATATTCTCATCTATCCGACCATCAAAATGGGGATTCGTCATATCTTTACAACAGCCAGTCTTGCACTGGCCTTCGCCAGGACAAATGCTGAAAATTCGGCTTCAGGAAAATACGGATACACGACTGCGTATGACTACATCATTGTAGGCGCAGGAGCTTCTGGAATTATCGCAGCTCAAAGATTCGTAGAACGAGGATCATCTGTACTTCTTCTTGAACGAGGCGGTCCTTCTTTGTTTTCATCAGGCGGCACTTCCACCCTTCCATGGAATAATACTGTCACTCCTTTCGATATCCCAAGCCTGGGAGCTTCATTGAGCGATTTCCCCGGCCTTAATGCGTTTTGTGACGATACTCCCGACCTTTCGGGCTGCATTTTAGGTGGTAGTACGGCTATAAATAGCATGAACTACATAAACCCGTCACGCGACGACTTTGATGCGGTTTGGCCAGAAGGATGGCGATGGGACGATATTCAAGCCTCAGCTGCGAAAGTTTACAAGCGAAATCCAGGAACCATCACCCCATCCTCAGACGGCCGCTACTACGATTCTGCTGTGTATGATGTTCTATCGAAAGAGCTTGCTCAGGCAGGTTACAACTCGGTCAACACCGTCACGAATCCGAACGACAAAAAGAAAATCTATGGACACAGCGCCGTTAACGTTATTAATGGACTTCGTGCTGGCCCTGTACGCACATACTTGCCCTTGGCGCAAGGCAAGCCGAACTTCAAACTTGAGTTACATACAAAAGTTATCCGCGCGGTCCGCAAGAATTCGACAGTCACCGGCGTCGAAGTTATCGACAAGAGCAATCAGCGAAGGATCATTAACATTAAGAAGGGTGGTAAAGTCATTTTTGCTGCAGGCGCCATGTCCACACCTCGCCTTCTCTTCAACTCGGGCATTGGCCCTATTGCTCAAATCAAGGTTGCAAAGGCAGCCAATGTTACCCTTCCCGATGAGAGTGCCTGGATTATAAGCCCCGTGGGCGCGCAGGTTCAAGATCATGCGGCCCTTGTGGTGACATTCAACATAACTGGTGGGAACATGACCGTAGTGCCTATCAGCGAGATCAACAACCCAGGTCAAGAGAACATCGATCTGTTTGCCAAAGGCTCAGGTGTGCTCGCAGAAACGCCATTCCGTCTCAACACATTCCAGACCGTGACAACCAGCGATGGCCACAAAATCATGATCCAAACGCACTGCTTCTCAAGAACAAACAACCAGATCGATGTCGTCTACCAAGTCACATTGGGAACCACAAGTGTAGGCAGCATGGCCATGGATGCCGCGGGTAAAGCTATCTACACCAAGAGTCCCCTACTGCAGACCGCTGCCGACAAAGAAGCCCTTGCCATTGAACTCGACAACTGGCTTGCCCTGACGCGTACTCCAGGATCGAGACTAGCATATGCTGGCGGGTCAAATACCAATGGCGCAGAGATCATCAAGGCGAATACAATTGGCAGTGGATACCACCTCACAAGCTCTACCATCATGGGTACGGATGACGGAACCAAGGGCGGAAAAAGTGTCGTTGATACTAATTGCAAAGTGTACGGTACGGATAACTTGTTTGTGATTGATCTTGGGATTCATCCAAAGGTTCCGAGTGGAAATACTATGGTCATCACTATGGTTGCGGCTGAACATGCGGTTACGAAGATTCTTAAGCTCGAGTCTAAGGGCTGGTAGGTTTGGCAAGGGCATTAGATGGTATTTATCTTAGATAGTAAAGCAAATGAGAGTAGCAGAGCTCTCCCCCGCTGAGAAGCCGTTCAGATGGTTCTGACGTGAGACTTTAGCGCAAGCTTTGTTATTTGTGTGATATGTTCCTGTACTATCACGGTTTTATATCTTGCCACGTAATACCTGGTTAGTAAATGGAATTTGTGGAACAGGTAGAACGAGCTTTCTTGGAAAATGCCGAGTATTCATTTCCACCAAGAGGACTTCAGCTTGTAGGCGGCCTGGCGTACTTGGTTCAATATAGGTCGCCATACCGGTTGCTTCTGGGGACACCGAGTTGCCCAGTGACCGAGTTTTTCGCCGACTAGCGACAACTAGTATAACTGGAAGTGTAAATGGAATAGAAAACAATGACATATGAAATACATTTCTTCGAGTTCTCTTCTCCGCTTGCTTGGATATTGGGCCACCCAATGCCTACGGTCCCCACTTTACTGCCTCTAGACTAACAGAACACTAGCACTTTTGTAGCTCTGCACTATAGAGCTATGGATATGTTAGTATACTCTTTACGTTATGCCCTAACGCGAGATTTCGCCACTCTCGGTGCGCTGCATTTGAGGGACGGGGTGATGGGCCTGGCTCCTCACTAGATACGATCTTCTTCGTAGATGAAATCGCAAGGCAATATATATAGCTGAGCTTAAGCCATCCGTGTAGATGTCCCGAATCCCAATATCTGGCTTGGTTCCCTAGTCACAATGCACCAACGATTGCAGATATTGATTGTCCGTCTCGGCACTATGTCGGTATAACGAAATGATAAAGTATGATTCCGGGATGAGTCATGATTGTTCTTGATCGACAAATATCCCTACTAATTATGGCTATATTCCCCTTTGTTACGGTTACAAATATAGAGGCTACCTCAAGGCTTTACGAAGCAAGGTAAATCGTGCGAGTCAGATACTGCAGCCTGTCATAGAAAAGCGCAAGGCAGGCAGACCTGCTTGAATAGGCCGAGGCAGAATGTCGCAACATCGAATACGATGCAGCAGGATTGCAGCTCAACTTGGCTAATGCTGCGACTCACACATCGTCAGATTTACTGGCCAAGGCACTCTTACTTCTGGCAAACGAGTCTGCATTAATGGAACCCTTAAGAGAAGAAATTGTGTGTGCGTTACGAGAACATAGGTGGAGCAAGATAGCACTGCACTTCATGAAGCTGCTCGATAGTGCACTAAAAGAAGCCCAAGATTGCTGCCAGTCGATTGGCGCAGTATCTTGAATATCTCTTGATAAATACTATGAGAATAAATACTAAAAATGCATTATAGTAGTGATGTGCCGTATTGCAATAAGGGACATAGACCTGGACAATGAGAGTATCAAAATCCAACAGGGTCCATACGTTATGATCGACTATACCACCACAAAGGATCCAGTTGCCTTCCAGAATCCTGATAGATTCGATATATGCCGCTGGATACGCGCGCGGGACGATCCTGTATTCGCTCACAAGGCTCTGCTTGTTAGTACGTACAAGCGGACTTCAGCTTGGATTCGCATACGCGATGCATGCCTACACTGGGCGCTTATGTGCGGCTAACGAGCTCAAAATTGCTGTACCTTATCTGCTGCTAAATTACCCATTGGTAGGTAAATTCAGGGACGAATATCAAGCCGCAGAAGGAAAGTAAAGATTGATCTGGCCTCTTTCCAGTGCAAGATCTAAGAGCGCTGTTTGAGCAGTTGCTAGTAGTTACTCTAATTAGACTTGCGTGTCTTGGGCCTTGTAGTTAAGTTACTTTATAGTTCTCAAGAAAATTAGAGTAATAGAGGTAGTACAACGCGACAGCTCGGCTCCACTGCGCTACACGACCCAGAAAGGTACAGTATACTGCATGGTAACGTCGGAGAGCCAAATAGTTACGTACACGTGACATCATTTGAAGCTAGACCAATTAGGTCCATCCATAGGTGGTTGCCGACGACGAAACGCGTGGCTCAACGTTACCGACCCGATCTTTTGTTCATCACCTCAAACCCGATCCTCTAGTGTTACACTTGCATACATCTGGACTAAAGCGGTGCGAGGAAGCTTATGCTGTGGTGACGCGTGGTTGTCTCGCCAGCATTCCTATCACATCACCATGCGCCGGTATGCAAAGACAACGACACTCCAACATGACTTTCTAAGGCCACTGGGATGCTGTACCGCCCCGAAGACTGGTTACGCAAGCTGCATAGCTGCCCGATATTAAGGCAACTGCCCAAGGCGAGAGCAGGCTGAGGCTTTTTGGTCCAATGGAAAACGCCACAATTTATAAGCGAGTTGGTCCTCCAGCATACTGCACCCTATACTTTGACACTGCAAATACGTGTGGGTAGTTCTCGCATATTGTGGCACTCTTTGACCAATTACAAGTATGAAAGTTGCAGGCTATTGGGTCTAGACACCGTCGTCACTAAGAGAACACTCGTTCACCCCCGATCTAGACGCCGTCTATACGAGCTCAGGTCCGCTTGACCAGATTGGGACTCCGTGATACCGTCCAATCCTTCTCCGGGCATCTGACGGATGCCTGGGAGTCACCTTGTTTATGCGGCCACACCGAACATTGTTCGCTCGTCACTCTCCCTTACAATCTCCAGTCGCCTTTCAGATGTTGGCCGGCCTTTCTGCATGACATATGAGTTTGTGTGTACAACTCTAATTGCATATACCAAGGAATAAGAGAATAAAAAAGCGTAGACTTGGAGGTCTCATACTACTGCTTGAACGCTGATGGAGAGTGTGCAAGTCAGAAGGAGCCTGGAATAGTAGCCTGTGTGATCGAGTATGTACTCACGAGTAACCGCCATTGTTGAGTCTAACGGCGAGTTTAGGTAGTGCACCAGTAATGGACCTCATCGATCGAGAGTATCCAACAAGCGACGACAAGCCTCCATGGTTTGGTATGAAATTCAAACAGTCAGTATATTCTGATGACATGCTCGAAAGTCTCAAGAGGCGGTATCCGCAAGGTGCGAATCTGCGAGAGAGGAAGCACATGGCTGCTATTGAGTTCCTACAACAAGAACTCAAGAATATGCAAGCAAGTGAAGCAGCTCTGATACCTAAAACTAATCCGACGACCTTGGTCCCTGATATAGCATCACACAATCATCAACACCAGAGAACCGGTTCGCCGCCCTATTCGCCAACTTCTCAACTGTCATCTCCGAATATCATGGACGGTTATCACGGTACCAGAAGTCCTACAAATAAAGTGTTCTTGGAACAGCCTCCAAATGTTTCGAGCAACGTTTCCGGACAAGAGATTGTTTTCAGTATTGGAAACAGGCCCCTAGTGCAGCGCCAAAGGAGGAAGAAAATGACACCAGCAGAGAAGATCTCCTACAAGCAGATGAGGAAGATCGGCGCTTGCGATAGTTGTAAACGTCAAAAAGCAAAAGTAGAAAGCCTTATTTCCTAATAAACAAGACTGGAGTGAGCAAAGCTGATACCATGCAGTGCAGGCACGTTGGTGGTGAAAGAGACAGATACAGAAATTCTCGAGGCGCCAGTAGCTCCCCAAAAAGGTCAGTGGCCTCCGGAATTGTTGAACATATCTCATATAGTATTTCAGAGAGACCCGGCCAATTTCTGACTCAGGAACACTAACTGTTGATGCAACGAACGAGCACAAATCGCAGACCCAAGCTCCGCAGCACTCGCAAGACCTGTCATATGATCTCAAATCCTCTCTTGAGACAGTATCGATAGCAACGCCTGTTACTGTATCGGGGAGCCCAAGTCCACATTGGGCTCAAGATATGCAAGGGAGTGCACAGTCGGAGTTGTCTGGGTACGTACCTCCTTCAACCACTTCAAAGCTTTACAGTTCATATCCAAACGCTACGTTTGAGAGTACCATTGATCCGCAACTTCTGGATATGAACTACCGGGACCCAAATATCTTCAATGAAGCGAATGGCGTCTTTCTTATGTCTTTGACCACCGGAAATACACCCTCTGGTAGTTTCTACTCCAGAAACACCCAGGAGTTTTGGAGCCCAGTACAAGGATGCCGCACAGACGGAAACCCCCCAGGCTAAACAAGTTTTACTTTATCAATTAATCCCCGGATTTGGATATGCATCATTCTCATGCATCGATCATCCGGTATACTTTCCATACAGCCAGAGCCATATTTGGACATGTTTTATAGTATCATCCGGAAGTCTCAGCCTGATGATCAAATGAAACCATGGATCAAATGACTGCTGAGCCCTTTTTCAGCACCATCTGGGGAGATTTGCAAATCTCTAGCCTTCCTCTAGTGTTTTCTCGTACGCTTTTCGTATGCTGCACTAGGAGAAGTTGCCACTTTTTTCCGTACCTACAGCATTAGCATATCTTTGTCTACCAGTTACCATAGATTAGTTGTAGCATTCTCAACTGCACATATCTGACACGGACGTCCAATATACAGACATGAGGGGAGATCAGGGTATACAAATAAGGCTCAGCAGCAGCAAAGTAAGTTTCTCATCCCTACCTGTTCCCCTTCCCAATGCCACATGATGACATCAAGAGTACGTTGGTAGTACTAAGAAGATTACAAGGCCCTGAACGAAACCCTATATCACACATAACATTTTTCTTTTCCTTCCATGGCCTTGTTATGAGCCATGCATTTTTCTTGTCACTGTACTGCTTAAATACCCTTCTTTCTTTGCTCGCTAAATTACTCCTGCCTTTAGTAGTGTCTCGCACTATTAAAGTATGGTATTTCAATCCCTCACATGGCTGGCCAAATACTCCCACTCCGACACGCCGGCCACATTATATCATACCGCGTAATATATTCTTCGTGGATCATCCAGCATTCGGTTCTCTTTTTTCCTTCGCTTTCTTCTTTTTTTCAGACCAACCTTTGGTCTACATTTCGTTCTAAGATTCACATGGGTATCATAAAACAAACAGTATTCTAATACGCCACTTGAATAGAGAATCATCGCCAACCAGCCCTATCAAACGAGAAGCATCGTCGCCAATTAGTACGATTATGCTGGTTCCTGCCACCATGTAGACAGACACGGCGACACCAAACGCAGCATCCGCGCCATGAAACGAACCTTACGATACACTCTTCTTCGTCAGAATATACAACGAGACATGCGACTTTATGGTTTGAAGTTTATGCTGGTTAGACTGGTACACTGATTTTTAGGGATGATAGGCATTGATAGGCAGGTTGTTGAGATTAAAATTGAGCTAACGGGTAGACCGAGAGAGATGAAGCTTTTCGGAATTATGTTATACATTCATTCTTTTCTTCCATAACGAACACGCTCTTTTCTCATAGGTCCTTGGTAGACAAAGAATGATAACCGATCTTCTGCGCCGTGGCTATGTGTATATGTTGTTGTGGATACGGAAAGATGAAGATAGGCGGAAGAGTGGAACTGAAATTACTCCTGATCCGAACAGGCAATGGGCGTCGAACTAAGTCACGACATGGACAACTAATTGGATGCAGAGAGAACGGCTTGCTTATTATCATTATACTTGTATTTGAATAAGTACGCCTAGCGAATCTAATAGTCGCCTCCTTTGACAATGCTACACCACCCCGTCTTCCTTTGATCATGAAAGAGATGAACACTAGCAGCTGTCGACTTCTATGCCTGCATCCCACTGTGTGCAAAAGCAAGTAGGATTTGATCTAGGCGAGAACTGTTAGCCCCGAAGCCGTCCAACAATGCAACATCACTACTAGTAATAATCATTCTCTCTACGACTTACCCTCTGAAGACTGTGTAAAGGTAGAAGTTATTGGCACTCTCAGGCTGTCGAAGGAGCTTTCGGCAAGCAACTTTACAGTCATTATCGTTGTTTTGCTGCACACAGTACTGGGCGCCGTTGTAGAAAACACAGCCTGCAGCGCCCTTGGCGAGACATCCACCGTGGACCGCGGAGCAGCACGAGCCTGGGACTGCGGCCTGGCGTGCTACAGCGGTTGAGAGGAAGACGGCCACAGTGGCGAGGAAAGTAAGCTTGACCATTGTAAACAAGAGGGAATGTTCGTCCTTGGTTTCGAGTTATGGAGTGTCGTTTTTCGTATCTGGAACAGCGTGGCCGTCGTGAATAGTTGGATTTCAATGAGAAGATGGAGTGGTTCTGGCTGCGGATTGGAAGTGCAGGTGCATATACTTATACTGTAGATATTCTTCTCCTTCTCCACTTGCTAGCAATCTAGGTTAGCCTCTTTGGATGTAACGTCACATCTAGGCACAAGCATCCAAGAGAGATACGAGTTAGGAAAGACAGCCAATGTTCGTAACTACAAAGATTGGGACCTTGGTGGTAAGTAGGACGCGAGTGGCTAACGTGGTACGTGAATAATGTGCGAGCGATCCACTTAGCACAGACCAGAGGCTGTTCCCTGAGTTTATTTCGAGATTTTTGTGAATCAGGAGTGAATTGAATTAAGTGGTCTCGAAACTAGCAGCGATAGCTCTGCTATATGTATGGTTGTTTGCATGAGGATTGACACCAGTCAGCCCAGCGACCTGTAATGTAGTCTCACTAATAGCAGCTGACTTCCACACTACGACTATAGGGATGAGTAAGAAGAGCTTTAAGGTATAAAAACCTAGCTAAGTGATAGGCTGGTTGATAACCTGTATCAGGAAAGGAAAGTGTAGCGCTAGGAAGAGTTGCGCCGAAACGGAGATTAAACAAGACAAAACTCTTAAAAGGCGACTCCATATTTTGGTAGTATTTCAGTGTTTTGACTTACACAGGGTCTGGCCAGAGGACTCTTTCCAACCGCCCAGGTGCCCCTGCTTCCACTGATCACCTAGTAAGTAGAAGTAGCTCAACATGGACGGGGTCGTGTTGGCCAGATTCTTCCTCAAGGAAACGCTGATGCTTGAGAAAACGGTCGGTGTGGTCCTCGTTCATATTTAGTACGTGATATGATCTAGCGGACCGAATCGAATCAGAATAGCTTGTTGCAATCTGCTATAATTATCTTCTGCAACCCTAGAACGTTTTGCAAGATAAGGTAGCCGATGTTCTCCCGCTTCAAGATCCTCTTGCAACACGTCCAAGATGCTTCTCGTTCTATTAAACCTACTCGATGGGCAAAGGAGGTGAAGTAGCAGGTATACTAACAAGCGCGAGGCGACAGAGGTAGACGAGAAAGACCTGTGTTGATGTTTCTGGTGGACTCAGTCTCTAAGGACCCGAAATCTCTACCCCTACTGCTTAAGGGGTATTGAGAGTAGTAGAACAGAGGAACACGAAGCTAAAGAGGAAGCCTGGACTCAGGCGGGAGGTGAAGAGTACTTTGCTTATGTGATTGGATACCGGGACTAGACGTTGAAGAACTAAAAAATGTTATTGAGATATACGAGACGTTCGTAGTAATTGACTATTGACGTAGGGTGATGTGATTGAGTGGATGTGGCGGATTTCGTACATAGAGACAGAATATGTCCGTTAAAGAGAATTGAGACGAATGCTTGAAGAGTTACTGAACGCTCAGATAAGACATCATACTCTACGCACGTGACTGTAGTTTCACTAGCCCGAGAGGTATCCGATGGATGGCCGAGAGTTTGCCTTCCGAGTAGGCCTCGGTCCAGAGTATCGTGACACGGTCTTCCCCACACGCGACGCCTGATCCACCCGCAAACACACGGGCGGCGTCGCCCTTGGTCACCCTCATCATGATACAGAGCACGCGTCGCTGGTTCAGGCGCAATCGCACAAACTTTGCCATCGGTGCCGGAGTGCTCGGAGCTGGTTATCTGGCGGGGCAGTATGTCCTGGGCAAGCTTGGGGAGGCGAGACAGCGTATGAGCGATGATCGCATCGCAAAGGAGAAGTGCGCCATCACATCGCGACACCGAGAGCAACTGCTAACCGTGCTATAGTCTCCGCCGTCGCTTCGAGCAGAACCAGGAAGACTGTACTTTTACGGTCCTCGCCATCCTTCCCACTGCGACGGAGAACATACTCGATGCCATCCCCGTCGAGCAAGTCTTGGAAGAGCTGCAAAAGCAAAAGGCAGAGCGATTGGCAAGGAGCGTTGGTCCCAGCGAGATTGCAAGTTCAGCGCCACCAAGTGTCGCAGACACTGCCGACGATGAGGCCAAAAGCTCCAGCCTCCAGACGGATAGCTTCATCCACGCCAGCCAGATCGCTACAGGAGACCATGACGCCGCCGGCCCGGCTGAGGGCGGACCCGAGGCCAGCGCCGAGAAGAAGCCAAAAAAGACAAAGGCACAGCTATGGAATGAGATGAAGATTAGTTGTACGTGCCTTTCTCGCGACTCGGACATGATGCATGTGCTAATCTGACTAGCCATAACCCGTGCCTTTACCCTTCTCTACACCCTTTGCCTCCTTACACTTCTTACGCGAATTCAATTGAACCTCCTTGGCCGCCGCAACTATCTCGCCTCAGTTGTTTCTCTTGCTGCGCCACAGCCAACTGCCGAGGGCTCGCGCATCAACCTCGAGAACCACGACGACGACAACTTTGAACAGGCCTATGGCAACGACTTCGAGACAAACCGGAGGTACCTTAGCTTGAGTTGGTGGTTGCTCCACAAGGGATGCTTGGACCTGATTGAAAAAGTGAGGACTGCAGTCCAGGAAGTCTTCGGTCTCCTCAACCCGAGGGAAGAGATCACCTTGGAGAAACTGTCGGAGCTTACTTTGGAGGTTCGTAAGAGGGTTGAAGGTGCTACTGAGGAAGAGCGAAGGTATGCTGCCCGTCTTTCCCATTCAAGACTCCAACTAACAGTCAACAGGAGAAGCAAATGGCTTCCCTTTCTCCTCCCGCCCCAAGACCAGGAGGACTACGTTCTGCGCGAGTCAGGGATGACTTCATCCTCTGAGTCCACCTCACCTACCACGGCTACTTCTCTTCGTCGCCTTATTGACGAGACTTCTGATTTGATCGACTCACCTGCCTTCACCCATGTGCTCACTCAACTTCTCGATGCGGCCTTTTCTCATCTCGTTGACGACAAGATTTCTCATCTCTCATACAAGATCCCGCCTGTTTCGGACAGTCACGCTCGCATAACAGAGATTGTCGGCAGTGACGTAAAGGCCAAAGTTGCCAACAGTCTTGCCGTCTTCTGTCGACAAGCACATAGCATTGGTAGTGGGGCAAACAACGAGTATCTGGCCGCTATCGAATCTGTAGGTGGCTTGGAGGCATTTGCAGCCGTGGTGTACTCGAGCAATTTTGAGTACGAGAGCCCGGAGGCAGTGACTTCTTACCAGCCCCCTGCGGCAGAAGAGCAACTACCAAAGGCGACTCCCGTCAATGATGCAGCTGTCCAGAATAACGTGGCCAATGGTAGTAGTGAGAAGGTGGATGATCCTTTTGAGAGCGCCTGGGGCAAGGCGCTTGCCAAAGAAGACGGATTACAATATTAATTGGGCGTGTACGATACAGAACCTGGTCATAGCCAACGTGAGATTTCCAAGATACCCGTAGTTTGAAACTATAACACCACATGTTTGCGTTCTTCTCTATGCCGCTCCCCCCTTTACAAACCAACAAGTAACATCCCTAGATATTGATGCCCAACTCAGTACTACACCAGATTTCTTTTGACATACCGGATTGCAGGAAGTAGTTTTTTCAAGTTTTAGTGCCGTAGAAGCTTCCTTGTTATACTCTCCTTGGACTCCTGCACCAATTTCAAAGACAAAAAAAATACCGTGTATCCAGCCACTTAAGATTGACCGTACAAGCTAATACAAATCATTTAAAAGGTATTTTCAGTCGTTATAGTAGGACTTGTGGGTGCTGCATACTCCCTACACCCGTTCAATATATACACCTCACTTTACATTAACGTCCGTGAACAACAGGTCCATGTCCCCTCTCCCCCAACATTGGTTTCCTAAGTATAGGACCATGAGGCCCCTGCCCGTATTCGTCTGCCTTTTTCTGCGCATCATCCGACAACTTTAGCCCACCACCTTCTTTACTTGCACCGTCCTCATTCTCCTTCTCCTTCGTATCCCACTTCTTCGCAAAATCCTGAGCCCCACCCCCAATTGCCTTCATCTCCTCATTCGCCTTCCCATCCTTATTCGCAACATACTTCTCGACAACCTCCAGCAACTCCCTCTCCCCCTGCTCCTCCCTTTCTCTCCGCCAAACCTCGAACTCATCCCACCACCACTTATGCGTCTCCCCATCTTTCCCCAAGTACCCGGCTGAACCATCAGGCTTGTTACGCGCAGCCCACGGCTTATCCACGATATAGTGCAAGACAGCAACATACGAGTCGTCGGTCCAAATATTCGTATGCCAATACCGCCATGTCTTAAGCGCATTCGTGCGCCACGAAAGCGGCGCCCACCGCCCGTCAAACGCTTCGTTTAGGAAATCCTGGTCTGGAAACTTCATAGCGCGGAGCCGGGCATTGCCTAGCTCTTCGAACTTTTGCTGCACAAAGTCTGCAAGCTGCTTGGACGGGCGGTACAGAAAGGTGCCAGAGTTGAAGTTGGTCAGGGTATAGGGCTCGGATTTGACTTGTGCCAATTGATCGGGGGAGGTGAGGGGCGTCATGGCGCAGTTTTCCTTTGTCCATTCTGCGGGGGCCCAGGCGTCGTGGTCGAGATTGCATACGCAGGTATGTACGGCCATTGTCCTCATGCCATCACCTCCGATTAGGTACTCGTCGTTTTGCGCGTTGAAGACTAAAGGGGAAGGGTCGGAGAAGATCATCATATCGGCGTCGAGCCAGCAAAGTCGCTCCCATTTCTGGGGCATGTCCCATAAGTCGAAGACGCGGAGCTTGGTCCATGTGTCGATGAAGCGCTCAGCGACCATGCCGTGGGCAGTGCCATCTTCGGGGAGGCGGAGGTGCTCGACGGGTTGGAGAATTATGTCGGAGTATTTGGCTTCGGCGGCAAAGGCAGTGACTGATGATTCCGGAAGGGTGTCCGGGGTGTAGCATATAATCAGGGGTGTGGACGGCGAGTGCTTGTGAAGTGTATATGCGAGGAGAATGGCACCCGCAAGATATGAGGGCCGCGTGAGGAGCGTCACATAGGCATTTTTGGAAGGTGGACCACCATGTCTAGAGTTGTCCGCCATTTTGAAGAGCGGTAGTTTGAGTTACACTAAAGAACCTTTGAGCGGCCTGCAATTGGATAGTAGAACAGTGAACAGAGGTTGAGGTGCATACCACTAAGTACAGTTCGCTTGTCCCACCACACATGCGCTGACGTCACGACTCATGTTCCGAGAACCGGAACCAACGACGCGTATGTTCGGAACATGGTGGTGCAGGCAATGCATTGGCCGGAAATGAATGGGTGGATAGATACGTTTGGAATACTTTTACCTTCATCTTCGTCGTTATACGTCATCGTTGGGTTGAAAGGGTAGAGTATAGCAGAGAGAACACAGTAAACTAGAACGTGAAGGACTGCATGATTATCGACTGTACATGAGAACCCTCTTCCTATACTCATTCGTTGGCTTGAATCGTAGCTTCTGCCCAAGGGTTACTAGTAACTCTGTGCACCGGCACAATATACTTCAAAGTCGTATCCCGTTGATGATGCAGTCACAAATGTTCACTCAACCAATCCGATGTACCACTTTTGTGATCCCCTTATCACCTTCTCAACTCTCCATCTATCACTACTCCTACAAGAGATCAATCAAATCAGCCCCTTCATGCTTCTTCACATCCTTGCTTCCATGCTTCTTCTCAGGCGAAGACAGAGCAGCAGGATCATAGTTAGCAAGCACAACTTCCCCGTTATGCATCGGCGTATAGCCCCTCAGCTCAGCTGCAAGAGTCTGCCTCTGCACTGGAACTGGCGAAAGCGTTGGCGAAAGCGTTGGCGGAAGCGTTGTACCGTATCCACTGCTCTCCTCCTTGGTGTCCACCTTCTTCGCCTCGATCTTGGAAGCAGCTTCCATCCTCCCAACCCTGACACCCATACTAAATAGACTCGCCTCCCCCATCGGATCCAGCAAACCTTGTACCTCAGCACTAGCCCCATTGCGCAGCGAACTTAGAGCAGCTTGCGCCTGAAAACAAGCACGATATCCCTCCAGATACCCCTTCTCCTTCTCTTCCTTGGCCCGCTCTTTGCGGCCCTCGTCCTTTCCGGCATCGAAACCGCGTTGAAAGCGGACTTCAGCTAGAGCTTCTGCTTCGTTGTTGGACATGTGATTTGCGGCGAATTCAGCCTCGAGAGATTGGCGGACGAGTGTCTTATACTGTTGCTCGCGTTTGGCCTGGGCGGCAGCGTGGAGGGTGAGAGTTTGGCGTTCCATGGCCATACGGGATTCGAGGGCGAAAATGCAGGATTGCTTGTCGAGTTCCATTTGCTGTTGGAGGTGGGTGTAGTGGGTGGCGGACATGGAGGTGGAGTTGTTCTGCTCGAGCTTGGTCATGATGTGCTTTTGGCCTGCGACGAGGAAGGCTTCTTGTTGGGATATTTTCTTCTCGCGGATATCGAGGGAGCGTTGATGGGCGGTTGCACGTGATTGGAGAGCGAGGGCTTCGGTTTGCTCACGGAGCAGTGTGGTGAGTATAGAAGAGAATGCAGCTTCGAGGTGCTCGTCCTGGGCGTCTTGGATGGTCTTACGAAGGTTGGCGTTCTTGGTGCGCTCCTGCTCGAGCTCTTGTTTAGCTTTTAGGAGCTGTGCGTTGAGTCGGACCACCTGCTCGGATGGGATATCGCTGCGAGAGGCGTGGTGGGTGTTGTAGCGTAGGTTGTTGTGGTAGCGTGGGACGTTGTTTGACGACAGTATCTGCTGAATTCGGTAAATCATAGTGTGAGTGAAAGGTGAAGATGACAACTCACTTTAGAACTCAGGACTTCAGCACGGCGAGAAAATGAGGACGGAAAGTCAGGACGCATATGCGGTGGTACGCTGTAGCCTGACTTGGACGCCCCTGTCGATTCATGAGTGGCTCTTGGTTGCGTTTGGTCATCGATGACTTCATCGTTGGTGATGACAACTTCTTCCTCGATCTCATGCTCTAGTACAGGCGATGGCTGTGATACTCTTCTAGGCGGTTCGGACTTTGCGGTGGCGCTGGTTACTGATGTCTCTTTGACTTGATCGCTCTGGTCTCTGTTCTTACCATCGTCTCTGTTCTCAGTGCCATCGAGAGACTTCTCGGAGCACTGTTCCTCGCTGGAATCGGCTGCAGTAGACTCGACCTGTGCTAGTGACTTGGGCGAAGTGGATGGTGATGCCAGAACGCCGGTGTCGACATCGCCCATATCCGTCTTGCCAGATCCGTCAATATCATTTCCATCACTACTCACTTCGAATTCTCGAAAAGCTTGGGAGGGCTAGGGGAGAACTCCAGATCTGGAGTGTATTCATCGCGGGGGAGAGGGGAGGACCTACCATTGATGTGTTTTCCGTGGCTGCGGAAGCAGCGATCCCGTCGTACACTTCGACGCTGGAGTCAGTGGTTCCGTTGGAAGCAGTCATCATCAGGACGTTTGAAAGAAGTTTCTGTTGTGGGAAGTGGGAGGAAGTTGCTGGAAGGAGTTTTGGAAGTTTATATAGAGACCGGCAGCGGCCAGCAAGGTAAGGTGAATGAGAAAGAGTAAAGGCAAAACTGAGTGATCTTGAGTAAAGTGGGGATTTGCAAGTAACGGGCGGTCTTGAATAGAATATTGTCCAAGGTAAACGAAAGTGAACTAAGATATAGATACGAGGCGGGTTCACCGCGAGTAAGCGAAAGAAAGGAAGAATGTCGAGACTGAGTGTGAATGCTGATACCGGCACAAGAGCATGGGTGAAAGCTGCAACTAGACTTGCGTCCTACCTCGTGAGTGAGAGTATTGCGTATACAGTAGACAATAGAAGTAAGACAGTGGTAAAATTAACGCATGTTGGAATCCAGCACCTGATCCCGATGGCTCCCGCATTTTTGCAGTGATATAAAACAAGCAATGTTGGCTCAGCTAAACTTGCAAAAGCAGCATGACTTTCTTTGCACAGGAAGACAGCTTTTATGGTATATATGATTGCTATTTGTTAAGCACGCCTCCACCTAGCAATTATATGACGCGACGCCAGACCGGCTGCTACATAGTTTTACATACAGGACGCCGTCGACATGTGACTCAAGTCCCGTACTTGCGCCAATTACTGAATTTCAGTCGACAATGAATTCGCAAAGTACCCCAGCTTGCTCGAAAGAACTCATGAGCGTCTCGATGTTATCGTTGGGACCGATGCCCTCAACAGTAATCGCCGACAAGTTTATTAAAGATGAGTTGCAGGCTGCAGACAAATCCCACAGACTATCCGAATCATCCAAGCTATTCGCAAATCCCGGAGAGTCAGCAATGTCGACAAACAAGTTCAACATCTTGAGACTCAATGGCAACAATTCGGCGACTTTGGAAGTAGGCGCTCGGTAATGTCCGTTTGGGCCATACTCAAATCTAGTCAGAAAGTATGTATCAGTTATTTCCAATGTATGCAAATGGTCAAATTGTCGTAGCGACCCAATGCTTCCAGAATTTCCATAACTCTCACTCATCCATTGGACTCCACGAAAATCCAGGGAAAGAGTTTCCAACGTATGGGAATGTTTTCGTAGTCCCGGCCTCAAGACGTCTACTGTCTTGTCGGACTCGAGCCATTCCCAGTGGCAAACAATGTGCCGAAGCCCCTCGCAAGCTGATAGAATGATGTTCATTTGCGACATTTCCATAAGGCAATGAGTAATTTCAAGGCGTTGCAGGTTTCTGAACTGACCAACGTTCACTTTTGGCCCAATGGTTGGAGTCATTCTAGCCCCAGCAACTCGGAAATCAGAGAGCGACGGTAAAGATGCCAATGCAGAATAAATACTGTAAATAGATGCTTCTCTGAGTTTTCTGAGTCCCCACTCTTCATCCATTTCCATCTCGACAAATAAGGTCTGCAGCCGACTAAGACCGTGGTCGGCAACTATTGTGCAACCAGAAGTTCCCGCGCTGTCCTCACGTAAGACATGTTTCAAAAAAGAGACATCACTGGTCTCTACGTTGGCCACAGAGATGTGCTGCAAGTTCGGGGCAGCATTGATGATGCCAGCTAGTAGGGAAAAGTATTCCTTTAGCATGTATAAGTCGCTAGGATCGTCCAAGTTTGCGAAATGATCGTTGCCTTGGTAGTCGGAGAATCGGTTTTCTACATACTGGAGATGACTAGCGTATGTGGAGTCTCCACCGAGGGAGCCCCTTGGTGCTGTTATTTCCTGGTGGAAGCGTCTAAGAGACCCTATGCCGGGCCATGTCGAGGATCCTGTAAATGCGGCATAAAGAGCAGGAATAGTAAGACGATTTAAATGGCGGGAAGTGCGGCAAAGGTTGGACAGTGATAGCTGACGTAGGCGATTTTCCTGTTGGCGTGCCTTCTCCTTGCTCTCGTCAAAAGTTGGTGAATATATTCCAAAAGAGCGGATGGTGCGGAGGTGGAAAAGAATCCCTAAGAGAAGCTCATCCGGAAGGCCTTCAAGTGATGCTCTCTCGGATGTCATGATCGGAAATTCTTGCTTAGGACAGCATGTCGTATTTGTTTCCGGTGGTTGGTGTCGAATTAGTTGTGGTGTGGGTCACGGTCTGAGGCTGGATAGGAGCCTAATCAAGAAGCTAGCCTGTAAAAGGGAAGATGAATAGCATTAACGCCGGTATCGCCGAGACAGATGCGAAAAAGAATCTACAAGAGAACAAGGAGACTAATTTACATTCATCTGGGTATATCGTACTGGCTCACCATGAGCTATCGGGGAACAACATCAAACTATCCGCTTTGTCTTGCCCGTCTCCACGTCGTATATCCAGCCACTGAAACGAATGTTTTCCTCTACTGCTTTGATGCGCAGCCATTGTACATCCTTCTTGACCTGGATCTCCAGGTTGTGGAAGGTCTGAAAGTCCATGTGCTCGACTTCTCTTGCGGCTACCTCTCCCCTCTTCTTCGAAATGATGGCTTTGGCAGTGGGGTTGTCGAATGTGAGCATGCCGCATCCGGTATGCTTGACGATCATCACCTCCCTTGTGCCGAGCAATTGTTGTGAGATGATGATTGATCGGAAGGCGTCGCGTACAGATGCGCCTGCGTTGCGGATGACATGGGCGGCTCCGAGTGGTATTCCGAATGCCCTTGTTGGGTCTATTCGTGCATCCATGCAGGTAACTGTCGGTCTGGGGTCAGCAATTGTTCGCAACACCTGGACATGGACGAGAACTCACCGATGGTGTATCTCTGGCTAGGTGGGAGGGCTAGATGGCCCTGGTTGAAGGTGGCAGCGTAAGCATCGCTTCCGTGCTCCATATTTCGCTCTCCGTGGGACGGCATTGTTGTAGTAATGGGAGGGATATCAGTTATGACTGGTTTTGACCTAACCTGATGCCTAAGTCTGGGTCTTTATATACTCATATGCAATCGGGTCAGCAAGACGGTAGCCGTTGGTGCTCAACGAACATGGCGACATTGTGAGGGGGGATTGCGCCAAGGCGGTAATGTGATACAATCGGGGTGAATACGCGCACAACGTGCGACAGAGTCTACGGCAACTATGCGTCTCTGACAGGAGAATAAGCATAACCAGATTGACAGTTGAAGGTGCCCGAGTTTCATCTGGCCAGGGGCCTTAGGCAGATCGCGGTCGCAACGCCTCGAAAGCAGGGCCGTGCTTCTAGCGCGTGGCACCCATGCCAATCCTCTGGTTCCTCCATCCTGCCATAAAGCACTCGAGGCATCACCGTGTCGCAAGAATATATGCAATTTCCGGACCGACCCGACCCAACATCTTGCTAGTGTGCCCCAGCTGCACTGTGCCTGAAGAGGGGCATCTTGGTGTCTCGCTCTTTTGACACATCGACAGCCGCACAATGGACTCGGCCCAGAAAGCCACACGGCGTCTTATCAGTCAACTCTCGTGTCACATCGGAAAATCAAGCACGCCCCATAACTGATTACTACGAGACCAAAGCCAGGCGTTAGAAAGAAGACATATGCGCTCTTCTTGATATACGCGCATTGGTCCTCACCTGCTGGATGCTCAATGTCAACGCAACACCGGCGTTTTGTCAATGCATTATTTTCTCCCAGACACCTTCACTGCCGGCAAATCTAGTACCGTGTACTCTTGTCCGAAGACCAGTGCTATCTCGATACATCCCTTACACCCAGTTCTGGGTGCACCACCCATTGCCCCCAAGTTTACACGTGTCAACGAGAATCTCCTAACAAATCAATAGAACTGTACCTGGCCGTATACCCGAGCATCTATCAGATATTGATTGGTCAACTGCTCCAATGGATTTGCTGCTTTGCAAGCCCTTGTTCAACGCCCCAAATACCCATTCTCTCTCCGCCGAACCACTGACCACCCCCAAATTGCGGCTTTTTAATTAATAAATGTCGCTCAAACCTCGATTCCGGTTACAAAATATCCCTGGGTATGCGAACATGGTATACCAAATTATATCGGAATAGATGCACGATTGCTACCCGGCGAGCATATCGACGAAAGTATATCGAGGCACGTTCCAAGGCTTTTTGCAATCCCCAGGAATTCCAAGAGTCGCTGAGGTAACATTGGTTCGCTTTATGCATTTTCTTCCCTCGGAAGAATATCGGAGTTTGTGATTAGGATCGAGTTTCCAGTAAATTGGGTTTCTTGTTGGCGTTGAGAAACTCAGTCAAACATCTGACGACTTACACCACGGACGCCATGCACCAGGTCGACATGAGTGAAAAGGCTTGGGCCTCTGAAAATCCACACAGACTCGCTGCGCTAGAGCATCTCGGTGTGTTTGGTGATTTACACGCCGGAGACTGAGATGACCCTGTCTACCTTCGGCTATCCGCGATTCCATCGGAATCACTCGAATCGTCGAGTTGGGAAACAGTGTAGAATCGTGGCACGGAGGAACCTTCCGAGGATATCTAAAAACACCTTTCCACTACGAGTTCTTCTTCAACAATCCGAATCGTAACCAGGATTTTGCTCCAAAAGTAGCTACAGATAAATTGACAACAATAACCCAGGGCATCGATATGCAACTAACAATAAGTGTAGGCAATACGATAGGAAATGTCTTTACGTGAGATCATTATAGAATGTCTATGTAGACATCGACGTATTGAATCGTATTCGTTTTCTGCGCAAGAGACGTTACAGGTAGGCTGGGAATGGAAATATTGTCAACTTATCCCTCTACTCCACCTCTTTACAGCATTGCAAGAGTAGGACAAAGCCAATCATTCTATATTCTAGAACCACAGTCGTGCAGAGTACTCCGTACTCTTTCCAGCCGAATATGGCTTCTTATCCCGAGACCACGCATACTAATACTAGTTATGACGCTGTTTGAGCGTCATGACTTTGAAATCTACACTCCAAAAACTCAGTCGATTACCAATCACCAGTATATATATCAACTTAGGATCGCATTCTTACGGAAAGTATCACACACTCTCCACAACCCGTCAACCATGAATTTGATACAACCCCCACCCATCGACACCTCCCGCTGGACCCAGCATATCGCCTCGATCACCACACCATCGGGCGAGCAAATCCGCCTCAACTACATCGACTGCACCGCCGCACCTTCCTCGAAATCCCGCAGCACAATCCTCCTCATCCACGGCTTCCCCCAAACATCCTATCAATTCCGCCATGTGATCACCCCTCTCTCAAACGCCGGCTACCGCATCATCGCCCCCGACTACCGGGGCGCCGGCCAATCCTCCAAGCCCCCCTCAGGCTACAAAAAGACGCAAATGGCAGAGGACCTACACACCCTCCTGCACTCGCACCCCGGCCTCAAAGAAAAGATCCACATTGTCGGCCACGACATCGGCGGCATGATCGCCTTCGCATACGCATCACGGTACCCAGACGACACGGCAAGCGTGATCTGGGGCGAATGCCCTTTACCCGGTACTTCGTTCTACGAGGCGCACAAGGCTACACCGGATCTGTTCCATTTCGTATTCCACCGCGTGCCCGACTTACCCGAGTTTTTGATTGCGGGCAAAGAACGCGAGTATCTGAAGCATTTCTTTGATAAGTTATTGTTTAATAGCGCGGCTATTACGCCGGCGGATGTTGATAATTACGTCTTGGCGTATGAGCAGCCGGGGGCTGTGAGGGCGGGGTTGGAGGTTTATCGGGCGTTTGAGAGGGATGCGGAGGAGAATCGGGAGTGGCTTGCTGAAAAGGGGAAGGTGCGAGTGCCGTCGTTGGTGTTGATGGGGAAGGAATTTATGCTTTTGGCGGGGGCGGAGGAGATGGCGGCTGAGTGTCATGAGGGCGCTGAGGTGGTGAGTGTGGAAGCGGCGGCGCATTACATTGCGGAAGAAAATCCGGAGGGGTTTGTGGATGCTGTGTTGGAGTTTGTGGAGAGACACTGAAGTAGAATTTTTGATGCATGTTTGGGCTGACTTTGAATATTTCAGGTAGCATCAAAACCATATATTCTATTCTATATCCCTTTTACATCTATGGTACCTTGACGTTGAACTTGCCAGTGGCCTCTGGCTTCGACAAGATCCACAGGATACCATTGTTGACACACTGATCCCAATGCTCAGAAGCCTTGAGAGCATTTCCAAACCGCCTATGGCCATGCGGTACGCCCTTGAAAAGCGTGATATCAGTAGGCACATTCGCCTCTGAAAGCGTCTTGGCATACAGCAACGCCTCGTCACGAAGGGGATCCAAACCAGCAATACCAAAGACGCTCGGCGGCATCCCCTTGACCTCGTCTTCCGTCGCATTTCCCACGTTGAGCTTCGTGCACTTTAAATCAGGCTTTCCTGTTTGCAAGAGGCCTGCGAAGAAATTGGCGACGTTTGCGCTGAGAAGGGGCGCGTTGGCGTTCTCGACGTACGAAGGCACCTTGAGCTTCTTGCCGGGGCCTTCATCGTATGTGTAGGGTGATGAGAGACAGGGGATGATGAGGACTTGGCCGATCAACTTCGGGAGGTCTTTGGTGACATCGCTTTTCCCGAGATGCTGCTCTATCGCGAGAGAGGATGATAGTGTTCCGCCTGCTGAGACGCCACCGACAATGACCCTCGATGGATCGCCTCCAACCTCGTCAATGTTCTTGTGGAGCCAGGCAAAAGCGTCTTGGGAGTCGAGCCAGGCTGTGGGGAATACATGGTCGGGTGCGTGTCGGTAGTTGACGTTTAGCACCACACAGCCGGTTTTGATGGCAGTCTGCGCGCATGTTGGATCCTCGCTCTTAATAGAACCAAAGATGAAGCCTCCCCCGTGAAAGTATATGTATACAGGGAGTTTCTCGGATGCATCCTTATCCACGGGCCGGTAGGAGCGCGCCTCGATCTTTGAGCCGTCCCGGGTGGGTATCGAATAGTCTTTGATCGTTACGTGTGGCGCGAAGTGCTGCATTGCTTCGGCAGCTTTCCCTTCTCTTTCAGCATTGACAAACTTCTGGAGCTTAGCGGGGTCTGCTGAGGTGTCGAAGTTGAGTTGAGGTAGTGTCTTCTCCAGGGCAAGCCATTCTTCAGATGGGCCGCCATACTGTGAAAAGTCCAAAGCCATGATGTTGTTTGAAACGATGAATTGATATTGTCAGGGAGTGTGGGAGTTCGATTGTCCGATCTGAGATGCGATCGATTCAATCGGACAGAAGATCTCGCTTATGTATTGATGCATATCTTGCCCGTCTGGCCCGTCTCACCGCCACGTCTGTGGACTACGTACTGTCCGTTAGCGTCATCCCAACGATGGACCGAGGTCGTCTATCGGCACTTGATTCGATAAGAACTACTCATAATTAGGCATCCCACTGTACGTACTGTACCAGAATGTTCGAGTTCACGTGATTGCACGTTGTTTGCAGACATGTCAACCAAAGAGCTTGCCGAGGTATACGTATCCATTCACATTTTTCGGTTGCCATTGCGATCGCCAGTGACGTTCATCTATAGCCTCATTGGGTATAACGACATGAGTGTAAGAACTGGCCCTAAAAGAGCAACCTGCCATTACAATGAGAGCTAGCAACTGCCTCCAAGACGGTCGTATTATATATGTTGGGTCCACTAACAACGGATACAACGTGTTATGCTGGGTCTTGAGGCGGATTGATGCGCAATTAGGTGAATTCGCGCGTGATAACTGTCGAATTGGCGACTCGGTCACGTCCGGCAAGTGTTGAACGCGTACGACGTGGTGGGGCGGGGTAGCTGTTAGGTGGGGTAACACGCGGTAGTTGTCCGACGCGACATCTCCCCCATCTAGTAATTAATGGACGTCACGTGCGTCGGCATCGGTCACGTTCGATGGCCGAAGGTATCGCATATGATAGCTGTCAGTACGTGATTAATGCATGTTCGCTAACTGCAAGCATGTTGCCAAGTCAGCTATAACCGCCCTGTGTATCGACTGCTTGATATTCTATAGTCTCAAGGTAATATCATAGAACGGCTGCAACAGTCCAAGGAGATATTACAAGTATACAGTAACTCTTGTACAGCAGTCGGAATAGCAATAGGTAGGGTAGGAAAGGTGAGCGTCTTAGTATGTATCATCGACATCAGCACCGCATCCTAACCGACCATAGAGTTCTACATAAAGGCAGGGAAATGAGATTAAATCGAATGTTAATAAATATGACTGCATGCTCAAACGTCAATACTAGGATGAAGAGGAATAACCACGTTATGAAGAAGGCCACTATCAACATGGGATCAATCGCTGGCTTGGGGAGGAATACTGAATCTCCAGAAAAACAGTCGCACTGAGTATGGCGATGGCTATAATATCCCTTCCCGTATAACATGAGGCCAATATAGACTTGCTTTGTCCTTGGTAAGCTCCCGCCTTCTTAACATACCGGATATGCTAGTACGCTATAAATGCTGCAAGGGAAGTATGTACTTGACATTATCATGCTCACCAGGACAATCCTGGTGATACAAGGCTGAGAAGTTTGCGCAAGATATCCAGAAATGTGGAGTCTGCATATGGAATATGTTGCTTTTTTGAGATATCCATGATTTAATTTTTGCCTTACTGGCCGAAGTCTTCTCACATCAATATCACCGACATTTTATTTGCTCGTAGCGCATCACGATAGCCGACGAGATGTATGAGGCTTAGAGTGAGGCACATACTCTCATTCGCATGACTATGTGCTGTGGTAGGCGGCACTATCCACGTATCTGATGAGCGATGTCAGCTGCCAGAATGGATGACGTCTGAAAATGACGAGTCATGCACATGCAAGGTCCCGTTCTAGCGTTTTCGCGCCAACCCGCTAGCTGCACCCCGGATCTCTACTTCTAGCCACACCCCCATTCATAGCTCATAGCTCCATCATCCATCTTCGCTCTGATCCATCAACATACATCTTCGGTGTACAGCTGGCTGGCATCACAAACTCAGTTTCTACGCGTAAATAGCCTTCCAACCGATCAAACATCACCAGTAGTTCATCATGTCGGAGAAGACGCTCCTCGCGTCAGCAGCACCTGCAACGGCGCCACAGGCACCAGCAGTACACTCAACCAGGCGTCAAGCCTTGCGCAAGATATTTGCTATTGCTGCTACGGCTTCGCTGATTCTCTATGGACTCCCTCGAGGTATGCATATTCGCCCTGGTAATCCATATATCACCCCTGACACGTGCTAGCCGGTTATGAACCTACGGGTGACTACCAAGAGGACAGCGAGCTGTGCCTGACTCCAGCCTGCGTACACGCGGCGTCTGAGGTCCTGCACAGTCTCTCGCCCCAGTACAAGGAGCTTGATCCATGCGACGACTTTGAGGAGCTGGTCTGTGGCGGATGGAGAGACCGCCACGACCTCCGTGCTGACCAAGGCGATGTCTTCACGGGTACCATCATGAGCGAAAACTCACAGATGCTCCTGCGTCACATTCTTGAAGCACCCTACCCAAAGGATTCAGCGGTAAGCTTGTAGAACATCGTAGGAATGGACAGAACTGACGAATGCATAGCATTCCTACTTCTCGCCTATGAAGCTGATGTCCGTCTCCAAGTCCGCAGATGAGGAGAACTTCGACAAGATGAAGGCCGCCTATGATGCCTGCCTTAACGAAGACCAAATCAAGAGCGCCGGTGTGCAGCCTCTTGTACGTATCTTGGACGAGATCAAGAAGGCCTTCCCTGTTGGCGCGTCCGAGTCCCCTTCGGTCAAGGACGCTATCCTCCACTTGGCCAAGTACGGCATCTCTGGCCTTGTAGCCGCTGGCACCGGCCCTGATGACACTGATCCCGACACCGTGGTTGTATCTGTAGCTGCACCTGGCAGTATTGGGCTCCCGTCTAAGGAGCGGTACGAAGATGAGAAGCTTGTGGAGAAATACCGTGATGTTGTTGTCCAGGTACTCAGTGCTCTATACCCAGACCAAGACAAGGCCACATTCGCAAGCATCATTGATCTCGAGAAGAAGCTCGCGGCTGCATCCCCTAGTGAGGAGGACAGAGAGGACGTTACCGTAAGTCCATCCCTCATGAGCTATATATACTCTATCGCGTACGCCTGGTGATTATAGGTGCTCAACATGATGTGTGAAATGAAGACACGACGCTTCCCACTGCCTTGATCAAAGCTAATTGAGTCTAGAAAGCCTACAACCCAATGAGCATCGATGAGGCCACAGCAATCGCTCCTGAGATTGATCTAAAAGCGGTGCTCGAAGCTCAAGCCCCTAAAGATGCCAAGATTGAGCGTGTTATCGTGGCAACCCCCAAGTACTTGAAAGACCTCTCAGTCATCCTGGCTGCGACACCAAAGGATGTTCTTCAGGGTTACTTCGTGTGGAAGGCTGTTCAGTCCTTTTCCGCTTACGTTGATGCGGACGCTGTCAAGCCATACCGCCGCTTTGTCAACGTACTGTCTGGCAGGGTATGTATACAATCTTTTGATCTGCGCTTACAGATTCTGACTTTAGCAGGACCCTGACTCTGCTCCCGAGCGATGGCGCACATGCGTTAGACACGTCGACAATGGCCTAGGTTGGATCCTTAGTCGCTTCTTCGTAGAAAAGGCATTCTCTGCCAAGGCTAAGACTTTCGGTGACACCATCGTCACTGATATCAAGACTGAATTCACCAAGAAGCTCAACGCAGCCCAATGGATGGATGACGATACTACGAAGAAGGCAGTCGAGAAGGTTCACAACATCGTTCAGAAGATCGGTTACCCAACCAAGAGCCCAGACATCATGGACCCGCCTACGCTCGAAAAATACTACGAGCCGGTCAATGTCTCTTCAGACACCTTCTTTGAGAACGAGGTTGCTGTTCGTCTTTTCTCTGTCAAGGAAGAGTGGTCTGCTCTCGGCAAGCCTGTTAACCGTGACGAATGGGGCATGACTGTCCCAACTGGTAAGTGATTGTAACCTAAATGTTTTCAACGACCCATTCTGACTGAGATCAGTGAACGCCTACTACAACCCTCCTGGCAATGAAATCGTCTTCCCAGCGGGTATCATGCAGTTCCCTGTCTTCGATGTCGAAATCCCGGAATACATGTCCTATGGTGCGTTTGGCTCGGTCGCAGGCCACGAGCTCAGCCACGCCTTCGACAGCACAGGCCGTCACTACGATCAAAATGGTAACCTCACGGATTGGTGGTCTAAGGACACGATCGATGCTTTCACGAAGAAGACCGAGTGCTTTGTTGAGCAGTACTCTAACTTCACGGTCCCAGGACCCGATGACAAGCCTCTCCACGTCAACGGTCGTCTTACACTGGGTGAGAATATTGCCGATGCAGGTGGTCTGTCAGCAGCCTTCCAAGCATGGAAGCGCCGCTCAGCCGAAACCCCCAACAAGAACCTCCCTGGCTTGGATCACTTCACCCAGGAACAAATGTTCTTTGTCAGTTATAGTAACTGGTGGTGTGGTAAGACGCGCAAGGACACCGCAATCAACTGGATCTACACCGACCCACATGCTCCAAAGTGGGCTAGGATTTTGGGCACAATGGCCAACTCGAGGGAGTTCAGGGAAAGCTTCCAGTGCAAGGTCAAGGAGCCCACTTGCCAGTTGTGGTAAGTCTATGAGGACTACACGCTTAAGAATGCTGAGTAGTACCTTCAATGATCGCTAGAGTCATGGTGCAGAGTACTCATTATTGCTTTTACTACATGCAAAATGTGTTTAGTGCTCGTCTTATCATAATTGCTCGGAGTTATCAAATTGTATTAGTTATTATGTACTACCAAATGCATCCATCGCGCGCGTGACATGAGCCCGTACTTTGCAGTGCATACCACACAAGATCATCATGGCATGTCTAACGACCATTCAATAAAAGCCATACAGTTCACACATGATCCGATAATGCAGGCCAAGGAAGTAGGTTCGCGTAGGTTTAATGAACCCTGTTCTGCATCGCCCGATGCCCCTTCCAGGAGTTACCTTCGAGATATGATAGTCATCAGTGACTCCACTTAGCCAAGTTAACTAACTTTTGATATGATCTGAAGCTAGCATTGTCCGATAGAGTGTTCGGAATGTGTATGAGATCCCTGTGTGCGTCTCTGCATTCTACCCAGAACGAATGACTCATTCACTCTACATCTGCAAACTAAGGATGCGATAAAGCATCATAGGTCAGAGCAGTAAGATAACTGGCGTTCGAGAACGACAGCTAGCTTACCCTCGCCTTCCTTGAGTTCTTCGTCCCCCAACAGCGAAAATGACCCGTTTGATCACGGCGTAGACGCACTGTGTTTCAGCAAGTTAGAAAATAGAACGATATCGTTAATTGGGAAAAAAAATACTTACGATAATCCCAAAGGGAAAAATGCTAGATGGCATGTAAACCTTACCTACCTGAAGCATGCGCCTCGTGACTCCACCACATCGAATTCCCAACCTGCGCTCCCATCATAACGCAGTTAGGCGCAAGATGCACAGCGCTTTCGATATCGGCAATCCGGACCCGCGGAATCGCCATATTGCCGCCAGTCTCCTCCCAAATCCACCACAACGTTATTGGGCTTAATGTCCGTATGCATACAATGCCTTTCTCGTGTAACGCCGCAATGCCCCACAGGGAGTCTCTCAACACTCGTTTCCATAAGCGAAAGCTTGACGTCCTTTTGAGCGAAGGGGAAAAAAGGGTAAATGGTCCTTGAAGTACCTGTAGGCGAACACGGAGTGATCTAGAATCGCATCGTCTGCTACGCGGATGTAAGCCGAGGTTTTGAGGTCACTGAACATACCTTGGAGGTGTTTGAATTCATTTTTTTATTACGCTTTTCAAGATATATTGCTGACCGCCAGCTCTATAGATGGGTGAGTAGGTTGTAAAGACACAAATTTCGAGTAGACCTACGAAACAAGATACACTCGTCCAAGCGCTCCTGGCTTCTCTTGTAGAAGTATTTTAACGAGATACCGATGGCCTGATTGGCCTACGGCTCGTGTGATAGCAGCCATTGGACGCGCCCAGGATGTGCGGGACTGCAATGCCTTCTACTTGGGCTGCCTCGCACTTCAGTTACGATAGAGTAGGGATGGGAGGATTAGATAGTAGCATACTCTTTATTGTTCGGCTGATTTGTGTCTATGATTGACCTTTGACTATATCAAGCAACACCCGACTCCGACACCTCCGCTAAGTTATTGGTAAAAGAGTCTATAGTAGCGAGTAGCCCTATGCACTAGTTTATCACGAGTGAATATAAGGTCATAGGTTGTTTTATATAGAAATAATGCTAATAAATAGAGATGCTTTATATGTATATATATTAGTTTTAGAGCAGATAAGAACTAAAAATATATAAACTAGTATAAATATATTTTTAATAGATTATAATATTTTCCGTTTTATAATATCTTAGCGGAGTTTTTCTAAAAGAATAGTTAGGCTAACGAATAGGTAGCCTCTACCTAAAGGTAGGGTAGAGGTAGAGGTAGAGGTAGTAGTGGAGATACTTAGTACTAGGTAGAGATAAAGGGTAGGTTATATAGACTATAGTTAGAGATAGTAGTAGAGTTATGCCTATATAAGACCTAATATCTATCTCTACCTAACCTAGTGAGATTAAGAACGCTTAACAGTACATAGAGTAAGCTAGTCCACCATGGCACCTCATCGAAATTCTCGCCACAAATTAGGGCTCTCAAACATCTTAGCGAGAGATTTTAGTCAAAAAGTGAAAGGGGCCCCCAGTACTGGCTCAAGATTGGCCTATGCTATTGCACCTGCGGGTCCGGACGCTCTAGCTGGTCTTAGAACAAAAATATATAAGCATCTGCTTTCAAATTTACTAGACTGGAGATCGTTGAAGTTTTCGGCCTATAGCAAGCCGATGGGCTACGCGAGGCTGCGTTTGCTTATTGGCAACCACGCTACTTAGGATGTTAGGAATCCAGCAGCCCTGGTGTACGCATATCTCAAACCTACTTCTAGCTCCGTTACGGGACCTACACTCGCTGTCGAAATTACAAGAACCCGTGTCGTGGGCGATCTTAATAGCGAAATCGTTATTAGAGAGCAAGCTATCAATAGTACTAAAATTGACCCCCTACCTATCTTTACGAGTGCTGTCAATTCACTTCAGCTCGATGCGATAATTAAATACTACTTTCTAATCGCTATATAGAACTCGCCCGCCGAGTTTAAATAACACTTTATTCCTATGACCCAAACGTTTTATTAATCTTATGAAAACGGTCTGGGAAAAACGGCGTCGCCAGACTTCTATCGCGCTTGCTTTACACCGCCGCCGGGTGCTTCAGCACTATATATTTCAGTGTATCATTTGCCAGGAACGAGCTAGGAGGATTCTGAATCGGCGTGAGGAGGTTTTCCAGCAACTGAGGATTCGTAGGAATTCGGGTTCAGCCTAGCGCCCTTATTGGTACAAACAGCAGGTGAGAGCACGAGGCTGAATAAAGTATGCGGTGAAAGTCGATAGGAAGTAGTTGAAGCCAAATATTCCTAATAAGTAATGATCGTGGAGGCTATTGAATTGTTGAATGCTATTTGAAATAACCTGTATTTAGAGGGAGGTTATATCATACGAGTTTAGGGTAGTTTTTCTATTCTTAATTTAGATATCTAAAGAATTTATTGGTATACATTATATAAGAATGAAGTGAAACTAAGAAAGAGAGTGAAAGCCTAGGTTTATCTACCTGTGGGGCTAATACCGTTATCGCTAGGATAGTTTCACTCCAATGTCTAAGTGAATGCCTGTCTCCGGCGTTTGCACAATAACAAACTAGACCGAATCTAGATCTCGTCTCTCACTTCGGTGGTGAAAGCCATCTTACTAACGATCTACACGTTAGAGCAAACAAACCACGCGCTTTATTTACCACGCTCGTTCAGCGCTTCTCTTTTACCCCACTCTCTTACTCTTGTTAGAAAGACAATCCACTCCACCACTAGTAAGCAGAGCTATCCCCCTCTTACCTCATACCGCTACTGATTATACGCAGTGGCTTCTATGGCTACAGCAACGTACATTGCTTCTAAGAACTTAGCCGAAATCCGCGAACAACTCGGAGAGCCCTTTGCAACCGCCCTGGAGTATCTACCTCTCGACAAGGTCATTACTAAGACCCAAAAGCATGAGGAAGATGCTATATCATTCATGCTACTGTTCGGTCACATCCGTAATCAGTGCGAGAACGGAGATCGGGATGTGTGGGTCCTACTCTTCCCACCTACCAAGGAGGATGGGCAGAGTAAGATAGAGTTCAATTCGTACGACAGCGCCACTGGAGCCTCTGAATGGCATAACAACCATAACATCAGCACGAGTGCAGAAAATGCAGCTGCGTTCAAGATGCCTAAGAAAGCATCGCTTGGAAAGCACACTGCACTCGCACGGTACTATTTCCTCCAGAAACTCGCCGCCAATGAGACCAAAAATGACGGCATCTCTGAGCTGAAGTTTGCTATGAAAGTTAATAGAGGCCTTCTCGACTGCTTAAAGACGGCATGTAACGAGTTTGAAGGTGCGGCAAAAGCCGCACTAGCTAGGTCCGTCAGACAGCTATCAGTCACACTCCCAGAAAGTCAAGAAAGTGATGCAACCCTCGACTTTGAAGACTCCAGAGAAACCGTCAATGAACGGCTCCAGCGCGCATGGGTCCCATTCCGAGCTTCATACCGTGCACCAACAGCAACTATGACTACTGCCACTGCAACTGCTGCCACTGCTGCTGTCACTGCTACTACTACTGCTGCTGCTAGCATTCCAGTAACTTGTACACCTCCAGCTCACCAGAACCAGCCAAACAAGTCCAAACAGGCTCCGCAAACCCCCCTCAACAAGATTGCCCAAGCTCTCGCCTCGCTCAACGACAAAGAAATGAACGTCAAGACACGCATTACAAATCTCGACGACTACCTCATGACCCTGACAGAAGAACGCCTAGACCTCGAGCAGCGCTGTAAGAACGTCGAAGCCGAGCGTCTTGCCGCTGAAAAGGAAGTGGCTAGTATCAAGGCACAGCGAGAGACTCTGTTCAAGGGCTTGAGTCCTGAGGCAGTGTTTGAGTTGGGTAGGAACAGCGAGCGGACGAATCCTACGAAGCGGCGTAAGCTTGACTAAGGCTTGCAGCTGCGAGCAATACGCTTGTAATGTTTGCGGGAAAGAGGTGCGGTCAGGCCAGGCGTTGCGGATTGGGGCTTCACACGGCAATAACGAGACATGAGCCGTGAGGTGACTTTGATGGAGAGTAATGGCAGGTAGGATACATGTGGAGGTGCTGGTTGAATGTTTTGACTACTGAAATACCTTAGAAATCCCTTTTGTAATAGGCGGGGCTGCGGGTAGTCAAGATCAATGAATAGTTACTGTAAGAATTCTAAATGCCCAATGATCGTAAATAAATTTATGTGCGAGTGCAGTGAAATGCCAACAGATGTGCGTAACAGCAACCCACTCAAGCACACCACTCCTTCACTTTCACCCCCACAGCCCCGCCCCACACACAAAATCCCCCTAGGACCAGGAATGCTCCTTGGCATAGGTCTAGACAGCCCATTTCACTTATACTAAAACCCCTGCCACACCCACCAGTACACACCTCTTTCCTTCCTAACTTTACACTCCCACGTCCTACACCCTACCCACGATCACCTCTTCTTACCAAATACAGTCTCCTACACATCGAATCCACCCCTCCTCCCCTAATACATCCTCACCACTACATCCCTACTCTCGCAACTATCCTTCTAAACCCCCTACCTACGCCCGCTGCACCTTCATCTCCACCTACCAGCTTGAATTTTCTTTTTCTAGCACACTTATTAACCCGCTAAGCATCTTTACGGAATAGAATCAAACTCTTGACGAAGAAAGATATCATACGTAGCCTGTCTAAGAATTAATATCCTTGTATGCAAATACATTTTAGTATCATATAATATATACCAAAATCTCCTTCTATTATGCCTGGGTACTCAGAATTACCTTTAAGAAAGAAAGAAATAAATAAAAAGTCATGGAGAGGTTGCTCCCCAAGGGATAATTTCCACTTACTAGTCGCTTGGTTTATGTTGTACAGCTCGATCGTGAAGAAGGAAGTGAAGTCGTAATTACCCTCCCCACGTAGTACGAAGTTAATTAAATATATAGTATGCATGTGTATCGTAGCACACGATCTTGTGCAGTTCACATGCTCATATCACGTCTGGAGTACGTTCAGCTTACGTCCGTACTTCATCTCGTGTGTAACCAAAGGGGCCATTTCACTTGGTAACTCATCGTATCCGCTCCATTTGCGCACACTCCTGCAGTCAACACAACATATTCCAGTAATATTAGACCTCACTGCATAACATCACCCATAATCGTGCAGAAAAAGAGTTGTAGACAAAGACCGATACTTCAGCTGTAGGTAGGGAAGTGATAAAAGCCTGGGAATCAAAAAAAGAGTTAAAAACAAAATAGATAGCAAATCCTTTCTTTCCTTATGCGTTCGTCTGCTACATCCGGTAGTAAAAATGGAGCATAAGCACTTGTTTGTCGACAACACCGTAATGGAAAAACACCCGAAAAATAATTCAAGTAATGTCATCAGAAAGCAAAACCGTGAAGAAATAATCGGGGAGAGACCGCAAAGTGAGGATATTGAGGGCCGCAGTGGTGATTGAAGTAACGATGACGGTGGAGGTTGTGACGATGGTTGGGGTGGTGGTGGTGGCGGCGGCGGCAGCGAGAGTGCAATCTTAGGATCCGTCTAAGGTCCGGGGTACCTATCGAACCTCCAGATTCGTGCGCGCATGTCACCGCTACCGGTAGCAAAGACGCCTCCTGTAGGGCTGGGAGCGACGGAAATGACTAGACAGCCAGTTAGTAAACAATCTGCATGCGTGGAACATAGTAATAAACATACCAGAGTTCTTGTGTCCCTGCAACATGAGCTGTGCGACACCAGTGTGGGGGTCCCAGAATTGGACACCACGGTCCTTGGAACCACTGAGCACCCAATCGCCGTGCGGGGTAAGCGCGACACTAAGCACAAAGTCCTTGTGTCCTTCAAATGTGCGGATGCACTTGCCACTGGGGTGGTTTCCGTTGGGAACGAAGCGGTTTTGGGTCGATAGCTCCCACATCTTGATAGTCTTATCCAGACTACCACTGACCAGACGGTTACCAGAAGGAGCGAAAGCAACACTATAGACACTATCCTTGTGGCCATGCTCGCCCTCGAGACGGACAACAAGCTGGCCAGTCTGGATATCCCACACACGGACACTCTTATCAAGGGAACCGGCTGCGACGTAGAGGTTGTCGGGCGAAATGGCCACAGTGGTGACGCCATCCTCAATGGAGAAGTTTGAGACTTGCATGTTGGACTCAAGATCCCAGAGACGGACGCTCCTATCGCCACTGCCTGATGCAATGATCTTTCCGTTCCTGGCAAAGTCGAGCGAGTAAATGTCCTGCTCGTGGCCGGTGAATTGATGCTTGATAGTGCGGCTAGCAATATCCCAGACCCTGATGACCTTGTCTTCAGCACCAGTGGCAAGATATTGTCCGTTGGGGCTGAAGCAGACGCTTCGGATGTAGAGGTCTCCATCTTCGGGCAGACTACCGTCCTGGAGATGGGCGACTGGGTTACCAGTCTCGACATCGAAAATCTGAGCGGACCGGTTGCAACCAGTCGCGACCCACCTACCGTCCAAGCTGAAGCGAACACAGCAAACCACACTCTGGTGGGGTAGGTTGTGAATGAGGTCAACATCAAGAACTCGCCTGGAGCGAGGGTTGAAGACGGCAAACCAATCACTGCCCTCCTTCTTGAGGTTCTCGGGCAATTGCTCAATGTCGAGGTCGGCCAGGACGTTGCTCTGGCTGAGAGGAATGTGGGTGGGCGCCATCAAGGCATTGGGCTGGTGGTGGGGAGGAGGAGTTGGTCGTGGGACCTGGGGCGATCCGGGGTAGGGGGCGGGGTTGTTCTGCTGAGGAGTCGCTGGGTTGGGGGGTCCACGGGCAGGGCCTGGACGCTTAGCACCGGGTGAGGCAGTAGGCTGGGGGGGTCCGTAGCCTAGTCGTGTCAGTCATGATGTTCAACAAGTGCTACAAAGGTATGTGAGGCTCACCGTTGACGGATGGGCCGGGCTGGTAGCCACCAAAGTGCTGTGGTGGGCCTGGGGCAGGGTTCAGTCCTGGTGGTCCCTGAGGACCGCCGAGCTGTGGCGGCATGCCATGTCCTTGCGGTGGTTCTTGTGGAGGAGGCGCTAGTCCTGGGCCACCCTGGGCAGCACTACCCGCCATGATGCCACCAAAGAGATTGCTGGGCCCATGGCCAATCTGTGGCGGCTGCGGCTGCGAGGGGCCGTGGTGCTGCGAGTTCTGGCTGGGCCCGCCGCGAGCCTCGACTTCACGCTCTAGCTGGGCAATGCGCTCTTCATATCTGTGTGGGCATCAGCATGTGCGATGGCGGCATGTGAGGCCGAGGGTAGTAGAGCTACTCACTTTGCTTTCATCTGATTGTGTGACTGCTCGAGCGAGTAGACTTTGCTGCGGATCAATTCAATTTCTTGAATGTGACGGGAGACTGTGAAGGGGAAGGTGGTTAGCGTGTGCGCAGACGCTGTTGAGCTCAAGAATACGGAAAACGTGGTCGAATGTTTGCAAAGCGGCGAGCGCTATAGCCAGATGTCATGTATGCCTGATGCGCTCTGATGCGGTGGTAGGTACTCACTCTGCCCTTCATATTCGACGCTGCGCTGAGATTCCGTCTCAAACTCGGCCTTGATGTTGTCGAGAAGCTCGTTGAGGCGCTGGGCTGGGCCAACCTGGGGGCCCCCCATGACGCGGGCGGGATAGTGGTTCATGGCCACAATGGGGAGGGGAGCGGAGGCACAAGAAGCGAAGATGGACAGTCAGGAAGCTGCGCGTTGCGGGCTGAGGAGACGCGAAGAGGCGGGTGCGGAATGCGACGGTCGCGTAGGCGGCGGTGGGTCGCAAGGCTGTTGGCGCAGGGCCAGCAGGTAGCACGGGTCAAGAGACTAGGCTGAGGAATGGGCCTGCTCGTGAGCGCGCCAGGGGCTGGATGGATAGATGGCGGTGGTGGTGGTTGGGGGTTGGGGTTAGGGCCAGTGTGAGGCGGAGACAGCTTGGTGTTGTGAGGGTAAGTAAGATGGCTGAGGTTTGAGCGGAAGGTGGGTGGGTCGCAGCAGCCTAGTGCGATGCTTGGCTGCACGGAGGAAGAATCGTTTCGAGTACGGCGGGCGGAAGGGACCAAGGCAGGGCCATTCGCGCCACAGCTATAGCACTGCCGACGAGCACATGCTTACTACCGCCTCCTACACCGTGTCCATACATGGCTGGATCCATATCCTACACACATCCATACATACCTAGTGCTAACTGCTATACCACTGATATGCATGCTGTCTCTGCACCCAATCCAGGCCGTCCACCCGCTCCACACGCTGCCCGGAACCCATGCCCGCGCTAAGTCTGCCCGTCCCGCTGCACTAGGCCGCATTGGGCGCGGCTATATTTTGCACGTGAGCGTCCCATTCCACTTGGGACAACACCATTTTTTTGCCAATGCCATTGGACTCCCTATGCCATGTCGACATGTTGACATGTCGAGTCTTCTCCCTTTACACGAATGCACGCCGCCTATTGCTACGGGTGGCACAGCTCATCACGATGTGTCGCCATACACCCGCAACCAGGCTAGGCACAGCGGCACCATGCAGTATCCTATGCTGCGTTGCGTGCCGTGCAATGGCATTTTCGCCCTCGGCCTCTAAACACAAGAGTCCTTGTACTCACCATCACGATGGCTACACGACGCCCTAGACAGCTCGATGTGTAGTCTGTTGACCGCTCCCTCCCCGCAACTTGCGCGCCCATCTTGTCTTGCCACGGCAGGGTCCTTCACATGAACCAGACCAAGCAGACATATGTACATATATGTACGTATGGATATATGCATACATATATATAGAAATACATAATCTCATCTCAAGTGGGAAAATTAGCCAGGGCCGCATTCGCTTGCTGAAGTAAAGCGGTAATGCTGTAATCACACCCGAGCCGGCTAGCGGCCTCGCCTATGCCTTCCCCCAATGCAGAGGCTCACCCTACCTTACCACCACTTCGTCCCGCGTCCACCCATCGTCGTGTCACCCTCTTCCAACCCATCTTGCCTGTCCCCTTGCTTCTCGCCACGCTTACAGTACCCGGTGACTGCTTCTTTGCTCCATTCACTGCTTCCGATAGGCAACACGCCTCCGTCAATAGGCCGGCGTTCCGTTTGCTCTGCACCGTAGCCTATCACCTGCCCTCAAACGCCGCTGCTCCACGTCACATTGTTGCTGCGCCCAGCAATGTGTACACTGGTAATTCCACTCTCTGTGCAAGTCACAGTATATGGTCTGTGAATGAACCAGGTCGAGTGGTCTATATAAGCTGCCTCTGCCTCGAGGTCAAAATGCATACAAAACATTACTCAATTCTATCCAAGTCTGACATCAATCGCTGTGATATACTACACCAACTATCCCATTGCAATCCATACTCAATCTTCCCATAGTCCAATTACTACAAACCACGCACAAATCCAACTTCGTTTGCTTGCCATGTCACTTCACGCATTGGCTGACAAGACCGCTAAGTGGCGGCCAACGTACCACCGTCGGCCCACCTTCGAACGACGTCAGCGAAGCGTCACAGCTTTCATGTCGTCGGACTCTCTGCACAAGTTAAAAGAGGAGCAAGGCACGCTTGACACTGCTGTTGAAGTCAGTACCCTTTTCCCCACTTGCCCAACCACAATACTCATATGTTGCACGATCAGGCTGTGTATGCTGGTCTCGCCGTCAGCCAATCGGAAGACGGCGAGATTGACTATTGTATTGCTTTGCATGACGGAAGATACACCATCAGCAGCGAAACCAAGCCTTTGGCGACGGCGCGAAGCGCACGCAACTCGTCCAACGACTCGTCCAAATCCGCATCGTATGTGTCCACGCCTGAATCGGAACAAGATGTCCCCGAGGCCCTGGTCAGCGCAATCACCACCTTCTTGAGTGAATACCGAGAAGGCCGTGTCTTGAAGCCCATGGGCGCTGGTGTCACTGCTGAGCTCCACCGTCTGAGTCCTCATCTCGTCGTGCGGCTGTGGCAAGAGCTTGACATCCTACCCTTTGTTTTCCCGGTTGAGTCACATGACAAAACCGAGCACATATCGATGCCTGTGGACCAACAGGCAGAGTACATGGCCAGGAAGGCCTCCAAGCGCTTCAATGTCAGGGGCGATCTTCCAGTTCAGATGGGCCATCGTCGACAGGTTTTGGTTGATCTTGATGGGTGTGTGAAAATCACTGAACTCGACAGCTACAAAGATACCGTCAGGACCGACACGACAGGGACTGCAACCATGCACTATGCCAACTCACTCAAGAAAAACAACGTTAAGATTGCTTTTTTCAACAGCACAGCACAAGGTGGAGGAGTGGCATTAATGAGACACGCACTGATACGATATCTGCGCCTTGTCGGAGTTGATTGCAAATGGTAAGCTTCATCAATTACTACTACAGCTATTCCATATTGACAAGTCCACAGGTACGTCCCTTTTGGAAAGAATGAGATTTTCCGCATCACCAAAGACAACCACAACATCCTTCAGGGCGTAGCAACGGACGGCGAGCGCCTGACTCAACACAAGATTGCCAAGCTTGACGAATGGGTCCTGGAAGAGGCAGCAAAGTGCCACTGGACCGAGTTTGGTGGACCTCTCTCTGCTCGCGACAAGGGCGGTGCCGACGTGATTATCGTCGACGATCCTCAGATGCCTAGCCTTGTCAAGATTGCCAAAGAAAAGGATCCTGGCCGTCCCGTCATCTTCCGCAGCCACATCCAGGTGCGCGCCGATCTTGCTGGCAAGGAGGGAACAGCTACGTCTGAGGTATGGAACTGGGTCTGGAACCATACCAAAAATTGTGACGTCTTTGTCAGCCACCCCGTTCGCGCCTTTGTTCCTAAGAATGTCCCTCCGGAGAAGGTGGGATTCATGCCTGCCACGACCGACTGGCTAGACGGACTCAACAAGCACATGCACCACTGGGACGAGCAATTCTACATGCACAATCTCAGAGTTCGATGCTTTGAAGTGGGTATGCGTCCGATGGCCCTCCCGGATCGTAAGTACATCACTCAAATTGCTCGTTTCGATCCGTCAAAGGGGATCCCGGATGTTCTTGCATCGTATGCTCGCTTGCGCAAGGTATACATGAAAGATGCGCCTCTTGAGCAGATTCCACAACTCGTCATTGCCGGCCATGGGGCCATTGATGATCCTGATGCCACGAGAATCTTTAAGCAGGCGGCAGATGCATTGGCAGGCGACTATAAAGACATTAGACAGGACATCATCATGATGCGTATCGGCCCTTCGGACCAGATGCTCAACACACTCATGTCTTGCGCCCATGTTGCTCTACAGCTTTCCACTCGTGAGGGTTTCGAAGTCAAGGTCAGCGAGGCGCTCCACAAAGGTACTCCCATCATTGCAACTCGTGCCGGCGGAATCCCGCTTCAGGTTGAGCACGGCAAATCTGGTTTCCTTGTGAAGCCTGGCGACCACGATGCAGTTGCAAAGCATCTCTACGATCTATTCACTGATTCTGAACTGCACACGACCATGTCCGAGTATGCCAGCCACCACGTCAGCGATGAGGTCAGCACGGTAGGCAATGCACTGGCTTGGCTGTATCTGGCCGACGAACTCGCCAAGGGTGAGCATATCAAGCCCAACGGCCGGTGGATCAACGACATGGCTAGGCAAAAGGCTGGTATTCCGTACAAGAGTGATGAGGATAGGCTGGTAAGAGATGTGGACCTGACGAGTAATTGAGAGCAAGGATATTGAAGAGCGCTGTCGACGATGGGCGGGGTAGGGTGAACAGGGCGGGTATCTGGTACTATTGTTTCCTTCTTTCACATGTGTGTCCTGTCTGAGTAGGATGTAAACCTAATGGGTGTGTGCGGAGGTGGGGTCATGATAGCGGTAAGCATTATCGGTCCTCGTGGAAGGGCAGAATCAAAACATGGAATCTCTACTTTGGTCCAGACAGTTGACATGACATTTGTACCAGTGTTTGGCCTGAAGAGAACCATGGTACAAGCATGGATGTGGCCATGCAGTGCAATGGCGCCGGTCTTCTGGCGCGATTCCTTGCAGCTGCCCTGCAGCATGGCTCGGTGGATAGTTGGACGACTATCGCCGTGACGGGCTTCCAATGACGGCCAGCACGCGGCTCGTCCTCACGCCTATTTCGTAATACATTCAACTTCACCGCCTTTCCCCAGGCGTTCACAATGGAGTCGTGTGTCCATGGCCAGGAGCAGAGAGGACCGACTATAGGCCGTCGCCTGACTTGCCGTGCAGGGGGCTCGCTGGTCCTGGCACTCGTCACTAATAACTCCGCCGAGGTCATGCGCATCGACTCCCCTTGACCAAGCCCATGCCGTCCGAGCTTTGCTTTCCCCGGATTCTGCTTAAGATGCCTCCTCCGCCAGCTTGTCGGCCTGCCCGACATTGCTCTGCCTGCTTCTTCACAAGCCATGAACATGACCAAGACCCAAGCGCGCTACGACTTCAAGACGCGCCCGGTCGCGCACCCTGATGCCATTGTCGCTGGCGACAAGTACCGCTTCACCATCCTCACCGATGGCCTGCTCCGCTTCGAGTGGGCAGACGACGGCCGCTTCGAAGACCGCGCCAGCACCTTTGCTATCAACCGCAGGCTGGCCGTGCCTGACTTTTACGTCTGGGATAGGGGCCACGGAATCGAAATCGTCACAAAGCGCTTCC